CGCAGCCATTATAATATATCGAATATGGTCGACTTCACATTTTAAACTGACAATGGCAGCCGCACCACACGTTAATGTAATAGGCATCAGAAAGGTGCGACCTTTCTTTCACGAGGTGCTCTTAAAGTCAGCCGAAAGAGATGAAAATCCTCTCTCTCTCTCTCTCTCTTTCCTTGGCTGCTTCTTGATCCTGCAGGTGAACACCAAAACGCCGACCTGTCCAGACCTCATGGTTTATATATATATATATATATATATATAGTGAGAGTGCTCCTGGGAATTATTATTTTATGAGATTATTATCTCTAATAACATTCCCTGATGCCCTGAAAAAAAAGGATCGCCTCTCATCTCAAAAGATTTTTGAAGGCTCATCTCCCTCATATTGACGAAATGAAAGTTTTCTTTTTCGAAATTCTTCTTCTTTCTTTTTCATATATAAGTATAACAATAGGAACTATATTTTGGAAAAAGTTGACTTTATTTATTTTTTATGTAATTCATCATATATTTGAAAAAAGGAAATTAAAAAAACAGATACGAAAAATTGACTGTAGAAATATTTGAAAAATTTCCTGTACGGAACAGTTTGCTGTGATAAACAATATCAGTCTTAAATTTTAAAAATTTACTGTCATAGCAAACTTTTTTGACCCCACAGGAAATTTGTTCGCTGTCATTACACAGAAAATTATAAGGTATTAAAATAAGCTGCAACACTTATTATTTTAATCCAAATTTGCTTATTTTAATACCAAAATAGATTAAAATAAGCAAAATTGAATTAAAATAATAAGCGTTGCAGCTTATTTTAATGCCTTTTAATTTTCTGTATATATTAGCTAACTTTGATGTGACAGTAAATAGTTCGCTGCCACAGCAAACTTTTTCTATGCGTGTAACTGTAACTGGTGTAAAAATTGTGTATTAGTTGACTATATAGAAAACTAGGTTATCACTGGATGATTTTCATTTAGCCCTTATAGGCTGATTCAGCAAAATTATTTTCGTTCCGGTATTGTTATGCAGCTATAAATATATATATAATATACATTAAAACTATCCGATTCTAAATGTAAATTTTTCTTGACCTAACCAATATTATTTTTTATTTTCTAATTATTTTCTTTTATATAATCGATGTTCATTTTTTGTTTTTTAAATTAGTTTTTTTTTTTTGTATACAGAAGGTTTATTTTTCGCTTTAATATTGTATCTAATATTTTTTATTTGATTAATGTTTTCGTTTTTTTGTTTTTAATCATTCGATTATTAGATTGTTCTATTATTACAGAAAAAAACCTGGAGTCATTATTTTGTTGCAACTAATTTTAAGATTGGTATCAAATTGAGTAAATAACAAACTTCAAGTTACTCAATTTAAGATTGCCTTGATTTCAGATTTTTAGGTTGGTATCATTTTTAAACTGACTTACAATTTAAATAATTTTTTCTAATATTTGAATAAATAATATTAATTGAATATTAAATAGATTCTTAACGTTAGTGCAAATATTTAATATTTTTAAAGTAAAAAAAATATTGATAATTATTTATTTAAATAATAATAATTAATTTTACCAGTTTCCAAATTTCGCGCCATTGTTTAAGGTTGGCGCGTTTTTGCTGTATGTTTTCACGTTCTTAACCTAAAAATATGTTTCTCATACTTAAAATTTCGTACTCAATTTGAGATCAGGTTTTATCTGCGTGTATTTTACACCCAGAGAAAAGATTTTTTTGATTTAAAGAAACCACTTTCCTTGAGTTATGCGTTTTCTTTAATTCAAAATAAAATTTTCTTTGAAAGAAAAAAAGCTTCTTTATTGATTTTATTTTGAATGAAAGAAATTTGTGCATTAAATTAAAGAAATTTTAACATTGATATATATCAAAGAAACATTATTTATTTGAATTAAATAAAAAATATCTTTGAAACGAAGATAATTTTTTTTTTTTTTGAAACAAAGATAATTTGTTTGAAACAAATAAATTTTTTTTTTATCAAAGAAATCTTTTTTCTTAGTGTATAGTAAATCTTTTTTTTGTCTATTATTAAAAAAATTAAATTCTCAAATTTTGTTCAAATTAATTCCAAATGCATTTTATAAAAAATGGTGGTAATTTTATTATTTTTAAAATTCGGTAAAATTATATTTAATAATACTTGGATTCTAGAACCTATATGTAAAAATTCAATAATAATAATAATAATAATAATAATAAAATTTAAAAAATTTTAACCAGTATTATAGATCGACAATTTTTATGAAGTTAATAAACTTTTTTATACACTGAAAAAAAAAATTTATTTGTTTCAAAAATAATCGGTTACTTGACTAATATTATAAAATAAATATTTACTTGAACCAAATAATTTATATTATATTTGAATTAAATAAATTATATCAGTGTATATATATTTGACGCATATAACAGAATTTTAAGTTAAAAATTGAATAAATAATATAATAACAATATAATAATTATTATTATTATTTAATAATTATATTATTATTATTATTATTGAATTAAAAATTTTTTTAATTCGAAGCATAAAACAAATTTTAATTATTTTTGAATAGTACATTTTTTATTTATCGAAAATTATTATTTTTTTTTCAAAATTTATTTAATTGAAAAATTTAAAAAAATTTTTAATCCAACTTTTTTTTCTATACCACTATATATGTTATTAATGGTGGAAAAATATCATTAATTTTTTTTTTTTTTTTCAAATGGCATATAGATATATATACACACCACTATTAGACTATGCGCTTTAGAGAGTAGGGACTGAATCGAAAGTCAGGATTGGCTGAAGGGCGGAACCCTTATTGGAGGGTTAACAGAACGATTCAGGTGGATCCTTCGACAGCACTCCTTTTGTCCCTCAATTAGTTACGTTTTTTCTTACCTCCTGCTTATTCCCCCCGATTCACCCCCTCTCAACCCCCCCCCCTCCCCTTGAAAATTTTACCTGGCCGACGGATCAAGTTAGTTTTCAAGTGCTTACCGTCTAGTCTGAACGTCTCGGTTATATTCGAAATTTTCGACAAATTATAGTCAGTTATTTTTTTTCCTTTTTTTTTTTTTTTTTTTTTTTTATTTTTCCAATAGTTTTAAAATTTTTATAATCTCTCTCTAAAGTTCTTGAGAATTTAATGAATGACTCTGCGTTATTTGTGTATGTGTGCGTGTGTGTTGTATTAGAAAAATTATACTTCAATTCGTCATGTGTATAAAAATTCATTGGATTATTTTGTGATCAAGTGCAACGAATTATACATAATATTATTTTGTTTAGGGCCAGAGGATATATATTATTTTAAATGGATATGGTTTTTAAAGTGAATTTTTTTTTTTTTTTTTTTTTTTTTTTTTTTTTTTTTTTTTTTCATAAAAAGTGAAAAGTAAAATGAAAAAAAAATTGTTTGTTGTTAAAGTGTATATAAATGTGAATAACATAGAGAAATAGAAAATTAATTGGAATTTCCCGAAGAGGCGTTTCATTGTTCAGGATTGATGAAATTGGTTTTTTTTTTTTAATTTTACTCTACGAAAGAATTTAAGGTTATTAAATTTTTTTTAAATTAAACAATTTAAATATATATATATATATACAGCTTTCGAGTGACATTATAATTTTCAATAATTTTAATTTCATCTGTTTTTCAATCTGAATGAGTGAAAAAATTACTTTTTTTTAAAAAATTATTTTTGGATAAAAGTGAAAATTTTTATTGTTTTTCACAATTTTTTTTTATTTGTCAGTTACACGCGTAAAAAATTTTTTATTCAAATCAAATATACTCTATAAATCTAAATTAGTTTAAAATTAGTAAATTTTAGTTGGACTTTTTGCTTCAGCAATTAGTAAAAAATAACTATTATATTAGTAAAAAGTGACTATACTTTTCAATTTTCAATATTATTTTATATTTATTAAAAAATAACTAATTATTGGTAAAAAGTAACTACCTACTTTTCAATATTTTTTTTTGACAATTTAATAAAAAATAATTAATTTTCAGTTTTCTGTATTGTTTCACAATTAGTGAAAAAAACAACTAATTATTATATTCAATTTAGAGAGTAATGTATATATTTGAATTAAATATATATAAATAAAATTTGTTTCAAGACTAAATTTATTTATTTCATATATAAAATTTTTTCATATGGCCCAAACAAAATTTCCATAATTAATTTATTTGAAACAAATAAGGGAAATTTTTTTTTAATTGCAACAAATAAATATTTATATAAATTATAATTAATAATAATAATAATAATAATAATAATTAATTATAATTAATAATTAATAAAATTTAGTTATAAATAAATTTTTTAATTAGGAATATGTGAAAAAAATTCGTATGTTTATTGTTTCTAAAAAATATACCAACAAAAGAATCTGATTACATGAATATATAATTAAAAATGAAATTAATTTACTTTTCTCATTAATGCCGCGCGCAAGAGATAAATTATTTAGTCTCGTTACAAAATTTATTATGGCAATAAGATATTTAAAAAAATTATTTATACATATATACTTTATTGTTAAAAGCATATAATAATTGTTTTATTATAGTTGGCAATAAGTATAAAGCACAATAGAATATTATTAACTTTTGTGTTTAACAGCAAAATATATAATTATAAAACTCAAATTGCAGTGAAACAGATACATTTTAAGTTAATAATCATTTTTATTATCATTGACTTGTAAATTGCAAATTCATTCATATTCATGTTGTTTCATTTTCAAAAATTCTGGAATTTAAAAAAAGAAACGTTTTTTATTTTCAATATTCTCGCTTTATTTCTTAATTTTTAATTACATATAATAATAATAATTATTATTATTGTTACAATTATAATAATAACCAAAATAGTATAGTAATAATACAATTTAAAAATTACAGAATTATTATTATTATTATTTTTTTTATTTTTTTTTTTTTTTATTACAATATTTATAATAAAAAGGGGCTATTTTTATTTTTGCTAAGGCTTTTTTATATATGCATTAAATTAACAAAAATATTCTATATTATTATTTATTTATTTGAAAATAACAAAGCCTAACAGTATATAACAATTATAGGGCTACAAAAAATACATAAAATTAACGTAGACTATCAGCAATTACTCTGATAAATTAATTTGATTGATATATATTTCTGCTTTTATATTTTATTAAGCGCATAATTGAAAGGTTCCGTCGGATGTAGAATATTTTCTTCATAGCGCAATTTATTTACCCCTATAAAATTATATACAAACTTTAAATTAGAAAAATAAAATTTCAATTATAAAAATAATTCGTCAACCACGTTAAAAAATCATTAATTAATACAGTCACTAAAAAAAATTTCTTATTCAAATTAAAAATTTGTATTTAAATAATTTATAATTAATTTATTATTACTTTATTATTATTACATATTTAAATATAATTTAAATAACTTTAAAAAACATTTTTAAAAACCCATTCAATTGTGTTTCAAATAATAATTATTTTATATAAAAGAAATATTTATTTTATAATAGTCAAATAAACTGCGATCATTAAATAAAAATCCGTGGAAAATTTACATCAAATAATTATAGTATGAGAAATGAAATAAAAAATTTAATTTGATTACTATTATTATTCTTATATACTCGGAAAAATTTTTTTTTGAAACAACCAAATTTTGTTGAAATCAACGAAATATGTTGCTGTAGGTATTACAATTAACCAAACATTTGTTTGAATCAACCAAAAGTTTATTTGTCTGAAATTCTTTCTTTGTTCGAAAAATATGTTAAAATAAACCAAACGTTTTATAGTTAAATCAAATAAATATTTATTTAAATCAAAAAAATTTTGTTTTAAATAACTTTTTTTTTTGTTATATAAATTTTCGTTAATACAAAAAAAATGGTATATTTGGTCCAAACAAAATTTTTCACTATTATAAAAATATAAAAATTATTTGCTATATATTTTTTTTTATTTTATTTTTTTTTATTTGAATCAAAATATCGAGCCCACAGTCAAAAGACCATTGAAGGGCAATACATTTGTGTCAAACGAAAATAACAAAAATAATTGAAGAATATAAGATCTACATAATAACAAAAATAAAAATTGCATTAATCATAAAAACAAAAAGAAAACATTGTAAAGTATTAGATCTTAATAACAGCGTTATACTAATATATATTATAAAAAGAAAAATATATTGTTAGGTAAACTATAATCTAACGCCGAGCAATAATATAATCATATATAACGCTTTTAAAGGAATTTAAGGACATTCCAAAAAAGTCTATATTTACATATTTAATAAAATTATTGTTTAATTTTGAAAAAAAATGGTTTAATTTATATATACCATAAATTTCTTTTTACAGGGGAATATATTCTTAGTTCATCAAACCAAAGTCAAGGCGAGAGCAGTTCTGTTGATAGTTCTGTCAGTGATCAATTATTGGGTGACCCATCATTGGGACTCAATAATCACGAATTAGTGGGACTTTCTGAAGATTCTTTAGGACTTAATGACACTCTTGGTCTTGAGAATGACTTTACGACAGACTTACTCGGAGGTGGGCTCCTAGGTGGTTCTAGTGTTGAGGGTCTTCTTAACAACGACTCATTAAGCATACCCGACGGATTCAATCTCGAGGAAGCATTACAACTTGTTGGTCTCGATGAAGTTCCGGGAGAGGTAAATTTTCATTTTTATATAAAATTAAGACTCAAAATAAATTAAAAATTTTTCCATTTTTATGTTCTTCTCTTTTAATTTATTTTAATTTTAACAAAAAATTAATCTCTAAATTAGAAATTTGAGCATATATAAAAATTTTCGATTTCTAACTTTACGATTTCATTTAAAAATTAATTTATTTATTTTATTAAATTAGATAAATAAAGAATACCTAAATTTATTTCAAATTCAGTCATTTGTTCGAATTTTTATTTGTCAGAATGTTTATTTGCTCGAATTTTCATTAAACGTAATAGTCATTTTAAAGAATTTTTATATATAGGCAAGAATTTCATTGCATAGAATTTTCATTTTATTCTTTCAGATGAATTTTCATTTGTTCAAATTATTATTTGATATAATTTTCATATAATCGATTTTTCATACTACAGAATTTTTACTTAACCGAAAAATTATTTCTAACAGAATTTCTAATTGATATAGAATTTTTATTTGTCCGAAATTGCAAATGGCCGAACAAACAATCGACAGAAAGATTTCGGCGCGATTTTTAAAATCAACGAATCAAAAATTATCCATAAAATTGTGGTTAGGAACCTCGTAATTTACAAGATTTCTATTACTATACAATTTACCGAATTTTGAGAAAAATCCGAGACATGACCTCGTATTCTCATATGAAATGCCTCACATAATCATGTGTTACATTGTTGGCATTATTGTAAATAGAAGAATTTTTTTTCATTTTTAGGTTAGAAATCTTGTAAATTACGAGGTTCCTAACCACAATTTTATGGAGAATTTTTGATTGATTGATTTTAAGAATCGCGACAAAATCCTTCTGTCGATTGTTTGTACGGACAAATGAAAATTCTATCAATTAGAAATTCTATTAAATGATTTTTCGGTTAAGTATATAAAATTCTGTAGTATGAAAAATCGGTTATATGAAAATTCATCTAAAAGAAAATTCTAAGCAATGAAATATATATAGAAAATTATTTTGATGAGAATTCTGCAAAATTCTAATTCGAACAAATAAAAATTCGGTTCGAAAATAATTATTACAAATGAAATATAATTCCATAAAATGAAAATTCTAACTAATGATTTTTAGAACATATAAATCATGCGTCCTAAAAAAAATGATATATATATATAAAGCAAAATGTTTTCTCAGTCATTCATTTTAAAAACCAAATTGATTCTATATTTAAAGCACCACACTATTAAATAAATATTTTGCATTGAATAATAAATTAAAAGAGTTATTATAATTTTCGAAAGTTTAATGCTTTTTGAGCAATTGAAAAATGGCTATTATCCCAATGTACTTTCTGACAATGAGCCGATGAAATTTATGTTGTCAGTCATTTTGCACAGTGTCGTGATCTTTAAACTTACAACACGTCACAATTAGAGTCTTGTTATAACTCTTCAACTTTTAGCTACCGTTTCTCTTCTCTCTCTATATATATATATATATGTATATTCTAAATTATATGAAACGAACATTAATATACATTTGCGACCAGGAAATGGGAAAAAATTCTCTAAAAGAACTTTTAAAACTTTTGGATTGCCTTTTGCTAAACATTAAATAATATTCAAGATATTGAAGCGTGACCATAATATATTGTTTATTACTCTCTTAGGATAACGTTTAAACTAGCGGTACTAAATTTTCCTGACATATGAAGGCCAACTAACTCTTCAACTCGCTCTTGCCTCACAAATATAATTTTGACGCAAAACTTTCTGGATTCCGTTAATCTATTGTTTGTTTAAATGCATTTAACTTGTATCTCCACTCGTGCGTTAAACATTATTCTTATATGGTTCTATAATTTATATTCTCAAAAAAAAAAAAAAAAATAGAAGCATGAATAATTCCTAAGAAAAAAAAATTATTAGTTCGAATTTTTCATGTCTCGGTATTTCATATAAGCTCAAATGTGACTCTTCAGGAGAAAAAGGAATGGAGGCAAAAAATTTTAGGTTATGTTTTTAATTATAGTTTTACATTCTTTCTTCTTTCTGATGTTTAAATGGCCTCTTGTATATAGTTTTACATTCCTTTGTGTATTTTTAATCCGAAAGACACCTAAAATTTTTTGACTCTAAGTTCCCTTTTGTGTTAAGCTGCGTTACTCTCTAAATTTGAATCAGCTAAAATCCGCTGATTGGCAGCGAATAGTCGCTGATTGAAAAAGCTATAAGTATGCAGCTGCGAATCAGCGACTAACAACTATTTCATTCAGCGGAATACTCCATTTTAAAATAAATTTATCTTCCGACGAAAATAACCGACGTTCGCCGATTCGTGTTTCGCTATTTTATTAGCTGTAACCGCTGATTTGCAGTGAAAACTTTATTCGCTGATTCAAACAGTGAAATTTTCGCTAATTCAAATTTAGAGAGTACGTATAAGAATTATGTTAAGTAAAAAATATTGCCAATTAAATATTTTAATAAATTTGAAATATAGAAGATATACCGTAAAAAATTCACCAATTTGAAGTTAGCACCAAAATTATAAAAACTTTACATCGGTAAATAAAATTTCGGCTAAAATTTTCTGTTATAGAGAATGGAGGCCGTAATATAACCTCAAAAGTGAAAAATGATTTTTAACGCAAACAAAACTTTAATAAGCAATTTATTTCAGTTGTTAAAAGTATTTTTAAATAAAATTGTTAATTAATTTTTTGTTTGTGTTAAAATCCATTTTTCAGTTTTGAGATTATGTTTAGGGCCTTTATCCTCCTTAAGGCCATGTGGGCAAAGAACGTTTTTTTTTTTGTGGATTCCAACTTTCTCTGAAATAAATAATGATTTCGGGTTAAAATATTCAAGACACAGAAAATTAAAAGGTATTAAAATAAGCTGCAACGCTTCTTATTTTTATCCAATTTTGCTTATTTTAATCCATTTTGGTATTAAAATAAGCAAAATTGGATTAAAATAATAAGCGTTGCAGCTTAATTTAATGCCTTTTAATTTTCTGTGGACTTGATAAAGGAGGGTGCAAAAGCATGGGCTGTTCTACTCATTTACAATAACTTAATGTAAAAATAACAACAAAAAAAAGCAATACACAGTAAAAAAAAATCTTGATTCTAGCGAATTCCTCTTAATTTGATGCATATTTTCCTCTTATATATTGTATCAAAAGTAATAGTCTTCACATGAGAGGATTTTCCTCTCGCATATAATTTGACAATTATAGTTATGAACTGATAAAGAAAAGCTATTATCATGCACTAAATTAAATATCTTTAATTAAATATTAAATATAATTAATGATTTATAGTTAATTACTTACATTAATTAATAGATTTGTTTATTTATTTAACTTTAATTCAATGTTTTTGACATGAGAACCTCAAAAAAATTGTTTTGTTTTATTATTAGTCACCAAAGAATAAAAAATATTCTACATTCAAGTGGAATACTTTTGTTTTAAGAGGAAAAAATTAAGAGAATATTAGAAGAGGATTTTTCCTCTAAATATGAGATTACTTTTTTCAGGGTGTATCATAGTTCATTCAGCGGTCACTCGCTTGAATTGGCGCTGTTTACTGGAGCACTGACACACTCAAGCAACGTCTGTGTATGCGCCGCCATGTTTTTTGTAATTTTCGTTTAAAAATGTCACTTTTTAAACTTCATTTTTTAAATAATTTAACGCAAAATTAAGTTTTTTCAGAAGAACAGCGCGTTGCATTGTATCCAAATCTATTAACCCTCAAAATTTTAGCCTAAAATCTTTTTTTATTTTAGAGAAAGTTGGAATATTGCAAAACACATTTTCCCATACTAGCTCACGTGGGTTTCTCCCACATGCAACAAAATATGTTTTGCAATATTTCAACTTTCTCTAAAATGAAAAAAGATTTTAGGCTAAAATTTTGAGGGGTGATAGATTTGGATACAATGCACCGCGCTGTTCTTCTGAAAAAACTTAATTTTGCGTTAAATTATTTAAAAATTAAGTTTAAAAAATGACATTTTTAAACGAAAATTACAAAAAAAGATGGCGGTGCATACACAGACGTTGCTTGAGTGTGTCAGTGCTCCAGTAAACAGCGCCAATTCGAGCGAGTGGCCGCTGAATGAACTATGATATAATACATTTTTTTACTATATGTATTGCTTTTTTTTGTTATTTTTACGTTAAGTTATATAGTAAATGAGTAGAACAGCCTTATGCTTTGCACCCTCCTTTATCATAAGTCTTGAATATTTTAACCCGAAATCATTATTTATTTCAGAGAAAATTGGAATCCACAAAAAACAAACGACCTTTGCCCACATGACCTTAACACAGAAAAATTCTAAAATAAAAAATTCGATTAAGTATTAAAATTCTATTTTATAAAATTCGGCCCTGTAAAATTTGTTTTGTAAAATAACAAATTTTGAATATTGAAATTTTTAAATGATAAAAAAAATTGAAATTTTTTTTGTTACAGGATAATAGGTCGGAAGTGAATAAGAACAAGTCCGGCGACGAAGATAGTGACGTTGAAAAGTGCGATTCAAGAATATCCTTGTCAGATAACGGCAAGGTTAAAAGTTCAATTGTTGAAGACGAAGAAACCGACGACGAGATGATTCACACACCGCAATTTCATCATCCCCATCACCCACATCACCCTCACCATTCTCATCACCCACATCATCCTCATCATCGCTCATTTCAAGTAAGTACTTTTATATAGTATTATAATCTTTTTTTTTCCTGCTTTTTTTTCCGCAATAGATTTACAAAAACATTTTTTGCTGGACCAAGAGAATTTTTTTTTTCCAACAAATTTTTTGATTATATACCGAGAAAAAAGTTTTTCTTAATTTAAAGAAATTGTTTTCTTTGACTTTTTTCTTTTATATTTTATAGCACAAATTTTTTTGATTCAAAAAAAAAAAAAAAAAAAAAAAATTATTTAAATCGAAGAAACTTTTTTTGAATTAAAAACTATGTTTTTATTTAAAAAAAAAAATTTATTTTAAATGAAACAAAACAAGTCAAAGAAATAGATTTCTTTAACTAATCAAAATTTGCCGAATGGAAAAAAAAATTATGTTACCGTCAACCGGGGTAATTATACCCACAAATTTTTTTATCTCACTTTCGCAAATTTTTTTCTGCTTTCTGTCAAAAAAAAAAAATTAAGTAATTTGATTTAGTACCCTTTTTAGTACAACTGTGACGGTATTTTTTTTTTTAATTTTTATTAAGAAATTAAAAATTTTTACTAATTTGACCAACTTTTCATGCGAAAACAAAATTTTTTGTTACATACTAATCAAAAACAAATACAAAAAAAAAATTATATGAAAATATTTTATCGTAAAAGGGAAAATTTTTCTTAGTTTGTAAAATCAGAGTGACACTTATATAATATTAAAAATTAAAAAAAAATTGAGAGAAAATTTTACTAAATTAAAGAAACAAACAAATACACGTAATACGGAAATATATATACATATGTATATATATTTATAATATATATAATATATAATATATATATATATAATATATATATATAATATAATATAATATGTATAATATGTATATAATATGTATATAATATATATATATATGTATATATATATATACAATATACGTAATATTATAAAACGTAAGATTTAGAAAAACAATGTATAATAATATAATAGAAACTTAATATAGAACATGATAACATGATAAAATAATAGGAACAATAGAAAAAATAATTTGTAGTATAAAGTTCTTGCTAATTTGACTAAAAGAGTTTTATAATTCATATCTAGATTATGTTTGAGAGACCGGAAATTTCTCATGATTATATATAATTAGATTTAAATGAAAATCCACTTATTAGAAAATAATTGTCTACTGCATTGTTTTTTTTTCTTTTTGATAAATAACAATTTTTATTTACTGCATATATATTAAAAAAAAAAAAAACAACACAAAGTTTTTTAAGTTTATAATAAATTAATTATATATTACAGAATGTTATAGATCAAAAAAATGTAAAGTGAAAAGAAAACAAATTTTCAATGTTTTATTTTGACCCTCTTTAAATTTGATCTAAATTGAAATTTATTTTTTAAATCGTAAAAAGAGGTCTTTTGCAATTGTTTTGCAAGTTTTGAACATTCAAATGAACGAAAAATTTATTTACTATCATGTGAGCACTTAAGGCCATGTGAGAAATTCCCACGTGACTCTAGTATATATATGGGAAAAATATATGTTTTGCGAAAACTAAACTTTCTCTAAAATATTGGTCAATTCACTGAAAATTATTTGATTTGAAAATTTTTTCATTAAAAATGTTAATTGTAGAAGTTGAAGTCAATAAAATATTAGTTTACTATTTACCGCTTTATTTTTATTATTTTTGCGTTAAATTATAAAAAAAAAAAAATGAGTATATGGAAGAGAAATGTTTCTTAAGGGTATGTGGGCAAAGGACGTTTTTTTGTAGTTTGAAACTTACTCTGAAATAAAAAATGATTTTGGGTTAAAATTTTGGAGAAATGATTTTGTTTGGTACAAGGAATCTCGCTGTTCTACTCATTTACCATAACTTAACGCAAAAATAATAAAAAGAAAGCAATAAATAGTAAAATAATGTATTTAATCATAGTTCATTCAGCGGCCACTTGCTCGAATTGGCGCTGTTTACTGGAGCACTGACACACTCAAGCAACGTCTGTGTATGCGCTGTCATCTTTGTTTTCATTTTCGTTTAAAAATGCCACTTTTTAAACATCATTTTTTTATAATTTAACTCAAAATTATGTATTTTTCGGAGAACAGCGAGATTCTTTGTACCCTAATCTATCATCCCTCAAAATTTTAGACAAAAATCTTTTCTCATTTTAGAATGAAACGTATACTATCAAAACACATTTTCCCATACTAGGTTACGTTGGAGGTTCCCACATAACCTTAAACCCTTCTCTATCATTCCTTAAAAATTTAACTTTAAATTATTTTCCACTTCAGAGAAAGTTTAAGCTTATGTGATGTCACATGTAAATATTCTCTGCATCAGGTTTTCTCGCAAAATATTTGATAAACTGAGCCAGAATATACTTTTTCGAGGTATATTTTGAGTTGCTGCATCCGAATCTGATCTCAGAATTGACCCAGTGCGTCAGGTTTTCGAGATATTCTATAACCTAAAACTGCAGAAAATACGTTTTTTTGGCCATATTTGAAATCGTGTAACATTATAAGATGTAATTTTTTTTTTCAAAAAGATCGTTACAGCATCTGAAAGTACTATTCCTTACCCTTTAAAATGTATTTAGAAAGTTTAAAAAATCTTTATTTGCCTCTGAGTTATCGTCATTTGAATTTTTTGAGTGGTAAATGTTTCAATATTCGCGTGTATCAGATAATGCTTCAAAAAATTCAAATGACAATAAATTAGAGGCAAATAAAGATTTTTTAAAGTTTCAAAATGCATTTTAAAGAGTAAAAATATTACTTTCAGATGTGCTGTAACGACCTTTTTGAAAAGAAATTATATCCTAATGTTACACAACCTCAAGTATGACCAGAAAACGTCTTTTCTGCACTTTTAGGTTATAGAATATCTCGAAAACCTAACGTGATGCGGGTCAATTCTGAGATCAGATTCCGATTCAGCACGTTAAAATGCTTCTGTGGTTCTTAGTTCAGAAGTAGGCTAAAATTTTGTCGGACTGTACTATTTTTGAGTTCTCAACAAAGTTTTAGCTCAATCTATCAAATATTTTACGAAAAAACCTGCGTAGAATAATTACATTTACATGACCTTAAGAGTTTTAAAAACTCTCTTTTTCTCACATGGCCTTAATATATAAAATTCCTTTTTCAAAAAAAAATCAATATAGTTTTAAAAAAATATGAGTTAAAGGCACGTTAGTTGTTACCTCGGCAAATCACTTTGAGAATTAAATTTCTAAATGACATATATATATATATATGTGAAAGTAAAAGGGGGACGTTTTTGCCCGGAAGGTTATGGTTATATTGTCCTAGGTCTTTCTCTCTCACGTGCGGGTCATTCGCGGTTTTTCGAAATTGACCTAATGAGGGGTTCGGTGGTGATACGAAGTCGAGTGATATACGAAGTAGGAAACACGAAGAGAGATAAGACTCGCGGTAAAGGCGGATAAGCCGCATAGTTAGAGCGGCGTTTACGATCCATAAACGGGACATTCGTTATTTACAACAACGACCGCACGAGAACTTAGATGGAGGAGCCGCCCGATCCTCCAAGAGAGATCCACAACCAACAATTATCCATCGTAACTGTGTCTTAATGTAACGAGTCGATGTTATGTGTAACTTTTCATGAAAAAAAAAAAATCCCTCTCCACCTACTATTATAATCTCACTTTTCTGATTACTGATATATCATTTTTTTTTTCTAAGAAAAAGTATAGGCTCCTTGAACCAAAAGGAATTGAAAAAAAATTTATTTGATTTAAATAATCGGTTATATATACTTGACTATTAGCAAATAAATATTTAAATAATGATAGTTTTGCACGAAAAGAAACAAAAATATAAAAATAAATTATTTTATAAAGTAAAAAGAAAATTTACTCAATGACTTTCATGAATCTCAATCTTAAACTCGACAAATGCAATTCCTCTTTCACAGTTAATTTATTTTAAATTGTCCATATACATAAATCTATGGGGAAAATAAAATTTTGACTAAATCTACGATTCAATCATCAATAAAATTTTTGATAGGTGATTTAAAAGAGGAACTTTGTCTATATGGTTACTACTATTACTACTTACTGCGATTGAAAATGCAGGATTGTAAATCAGTTTTTATTAGTGACAAAAAGTTTTCTCATATGCATTATAAGATGACAAATGGCCATTACGTATATAGAAGCGTTCTATTACTTTTTCGTTGACAGAAATAAGCAGTTTCTTTATAGCATCCATCAGATAATTTCATATCAAATTTTCTGTTAACAGTAATAATAAATTTATATATATTATATATTATATTAAGTTCTATATATTAGCCAATTAGTATATCAACAATTTCAATTTATATAGTTAATGCGCACAAAAATCCATAGTGTGAAAATAATTCTCATGAAATTTAAATTCATTCATGAATTTAAATTGAAAATATATAATCACACGCCATTTGCTTGTTAAAAATAAATAGAAAAAAAAAACTATTTTAATTTTTATCTGAAACTAGTATATAAATCATGTATTTAATGACACATAATTATAAATCAGTATATATATATATTTATCATCGGTGCAGAAATCTTATTCGCGAATGTTTGCTTAGAAGGATTATTGAGGGTTAATATTTATAGATTTTCAATGGGAAATTTTGGATTTTGTTGAAACTGAAAGTTTAAAGAAAGAGAATTCGTGAAAAACAGTTATGGAAAAAAAATTAAACTTCTTGAAACTGATTTTTGTAAAATTACATTATTCAAAGCAATTGTTCAACTATATGTACTTTGAATGTTGCAGTTTTACAATTTTCTGTAAATTTACCACTTTCAAAGCAGGTAATAATTGCATTAATTATTACCTGCTTTGAAAGTGGTAAATTTACAGAAAATTGTAAAACTGCAACATTCAAAGTACATAGTTGAACAACTGCTTTGAATAATGTAATTTTACAAATTTTTATATAAATACAAACTGTGATGTGAAAAATTACAAGAAACATTTTATTTTACAGTGCACTTTTACATTTGAGTCGCCGGAAAGTAAAACCACACATAAAATTCTGACGGCCATGTTAATTCAATGGGAGTCAGAATTTTATGTGTGGTTTTACTTTCTGGCGACTCATTTTCGGTATTTTTAGCACTTTCAAACTAGAAAATAATTTTTTGACGATATGTCAATTATTACCTATACCTATACCCTACCAAAAATTACCAGAGTTCACTACTGGCGCAATACTGGTACCAATATCGCGCCACTACTGGTAGTACTGGCGCTGTACTGTGCCCCAGTAAAAATACCGAAAATAGAAAAGTATTGTATCTAAAGTGTAAACATAACCTCTATATTGAATTCAATAAATCTGAATTAGTATAGTTTTCTACTAATGAAAGAGTGCGTATTCGTTTACCAATTGAATTAGTAACAGTTTTGACTAATTTTTAGTAAAAAAAACTATTAATTGCTAGTAGAAAACTACTAATTTATGGAGTAAATCTGCTTACTAATTTGAAATAGTAAAAAATACGACTTACTAATGAATTAGTAGTTTCCTACTAGCAATTAGTAGTTTTTTTTTATTAAAAATTAGTCAAAACTGTTACTAATTCAATTGATAAACAAATTTGCACCTTTTCATTAGTAGAAAACTACTAATTCAGATTTAGAAAGAATAATATGGTAATTTTACATATTTTCATACAAATACAAATACATGAATAATTCCCACGAACACGGAGAGAAATAGATGATAAGAACTTATGATCTTAAGATGGTAAAAAGTAGATCCCGTGTGGAAATCTTCCCAAAGTCGCCCAAAGTGAGACTGGGCGCCAATCTGGACCCAACTTGGCTTCCCAAAGTTTGAAAAAATGAAGAAATAAAAGAATTAAATTAATTAAATTATTATTTAAATAATATGCTGAAGAAATATACAAAAAAGCGCAACTGTGAAAAGCTGAAAAAAATGTTTGTTTTTCATTGTACTTGGGAAAAGTTTGGATCAACCCAACCTGGACCCAACTGGGATAAAAAACTTGAGAAAAAATGTGAAATAATAAAACTAGTTAATTATATTTATATTTAATTTATATGCCGTTGGGAGATTTTTCCAAAAGCCAATATGGGCAAAATTCACATTTAAGGAAAAATAAGGAAATTGAAAACTTTAGTTAATTATATTAATGCTTAAATAATACCGTAAAACGGTGTTATTTCTCTCAGTGCGGATAAAGTCGCTCACCCATTTTTTTGCTTTAAATTTGATTTAAACTAAAATTTAGTATTTCTATTAACAAATTTAACATTTTTACCTGGTAATAAAGGTATTAAACTTTATTTTAAAGCTATTAAATAAAGCATAAAAGTGGGTGAGCGAATTTACCCGCAATGAGCGACATAACCCCGTTTTACGGTACCTTCCCTGAATAAATAAAATGTATGTCAAGTTCTTAGTTTTTAATTTATTGAACTAAGCTAATTAATAATAATAACTTAGTAGTTTTTTGAGTTTGGGCTTTCCCACTCTGATCCCATTCTCAATCATTTATTTCCTATTTTTATTCAATTTATTAATAATAATTGAACAAAATTTTGACTTCAACGACAACTATACTTTGGTACTTATTAATTACAGGTAAAAATGTTAAATTAAAATAAATGAAATTAAGTAAGTGATTATATTTTAATTTATTGTCTAACCTAATCATATTTTTCACATCTTTGATACTGAGAAATTAAAACTTGTCTGCAGATATACGCGTCGTTAGCATAGTGATTAGAGCGTTAATCTATAAGTCCGTAGGTCGTAGGTTCGATTCCCCTCGTGCGCAGTTTTCTTTATTTCATAGGTTTGCGTTATTTCTAGATTTTAATTTATAAGTTGTACCAAAACTTGAAAATCTAATACATATACACTATTATTTAATTTTTAAATTGTATAAATATTTTTTTTTACTTTTTTTACTATATACATTGTTTGTTAGTCGTCATCGTTAATAAAATTTAATTTAAAAGGAAATTATATTTATTCATTTAATTTACTCTTTTGTTGTTAAATTATTTATATAATTATTAATTAACAATTATAAATAAAAATGGAATAACTCAATCTGGCCCCAGCTGGGATTTCTCAACCTTGGGAAATCTTTGGGATCAGCGTTACGCGCCCAGTTTGGGCGTTGTCTGGATTGCCCACTTTGGACATTGGGAAACCCATGGCCCAGATTGGGGCCCAGTCGACTTTTCCACACGGGATGTTATCCGGTACTATCATTATGCTACTCGGTACTATCAAAGATGTTACAAAAAGTATGGTTATGTTACCCAATACAATCAAGATGTTACTCCGTAGAATCTGGATAGTAACTGATAGAATCTAGATTGCTGTCCGTATATGTATGATCAAATATGGTATCTGGTACTATCTAGATAGTATACCCCGTACCATCTATTTCTCTCCGAGAAGATTTTTATATACAAACTCGAAATGAACAATATCAGAATCATTTTCAACAATTTTCAAGTTTGCTATTAACGCTAAATTTAATACTGAACTTGTAATATGGTATACGCTATAAAAATGAATATTTTTTCATTGTTAGGCGAGAGATACACAGTAAACTTGGTTGTCTCTTTTTCTATTGCAACGTTTTGATGCACATAAGTTATATCAAAAAAAGATCGTTTTGTGTATCATTTTTTGATGCAAAAAATTGAATCAATTTATATCAATCATGGCCGAATTGAATCGACTCAAAATTAAACGAATTTTTTTCAGATATTTTGGTAATAGTACAATTGTGCGGAGACCATTTCACTATTTAATTTGAAAATGAAAATAACAGAAAATCAAAGACAATGTGCAATTCGATAATTAAAAAGTGACAGCTTATAAACATAACCTAAAATGCATGAGAAAAAATTTGTCGATAAAATCAATATAGCCGAGCTTTTTAGAAGGTAGATGGCAGCACTCATCTATTTTCTTTCTTTAAATTTTTTCTGAATCGTTTTTATAAAAAGCAAAACTGCCATCTACCTTCTAAAAAGCTCGGCTATATTGATTTTATCAACAAATTTTTTCTCATGCATTTTAGGTTATGTTTATAAGCTGTCACTTTTTAATTATCGAATTGCACATTGTTTTTGATTTTCTGTTATTTTCATTTTCAAATTAAATAGTGAAATGGTCTCCGCAATTGTACTATTACCAAAATATCTGAAAAAAATTCCTTTAATTTTGAGTCGATTCAATTCGGCCATGATTGATATAAATTGATTAAATTTTTTGCATCAAAAAATGAGACCGTTTCGTGCATCATTTCTAAAAATGATACACAAAACAATCTCTTTTTGATATAACTTATGTGCATCAAAACGTTGCAAACATTTGATGCAATTTTTGGTCTCAATTTGAGACTTTTAGGAAAACTGTGTATGTTAAATCCCATGGTTATATAGAATTTACCGCTTTTTGATTTTCTGTTTGAGGAATCTATACTGTTTATCTATATATATATATATATATATATGTAGGTACGTGTGTTGGACCTTATATAGGTGCACTTAACTCTATACGAGCATGGCAATCATATAGACAACCATTATCCGTCGCAGTTTTCGAAGCGTAGATCACTATACCGCTGCCGTTTAGTAGTCACTGTTATACTGTACTGCTACCGCTATTGCCGTTATGTAACAATATTTTTACGAGCACTCGCTGATTGTAATTATCAGTCGGTGAGATTACTCGCTATGTTCGTTTTGTTCTATTCGGTGTATAGTTTGTCGTCGCGTGATCAGACATCTTCAGTTCTTGAGGAAATTTTACTTTTAACTCATCGTCACCTTTGGCTTTATAATACACGTGGAAACTATCCTGACACTTATTGCAAACTAATATACGAATTCAGAAACAGATGTTTTTCTATTTAATGATCCTTTATTCTTCTTTTTTTTATATGTATAATCCTCGTATATAGATATTCGGCTCAAAAATAATTATGACAAATTTCATAAATTAATTGAATAAAAATTTCGCTGGTACAAATAATTTGGAGCAATTAAAATTTTTATTAAAAAAAAGAAAAATATCATTTACTTAAATTATTTATAAAAATAAAAAATTTATTTGTCAACAGTACAGACAAGTAATTGACTCATATTTGAATCAAATAAATATTTTTCAGTGTATTTATTGTAATACAGCAATTACATTATATTATGTAAGTTTATTTTCAATATTTGAATCATCGTAATTTTCAATTATTAAGAACCTGGTTTCTAAATTACTAACTATAATTATATTTGAATTGATTACACTTCGCTGTTTATAATATAAAATTAACTATATAACGTTTCAAGTTGTTTTTTCTTATATAAATAAACTGGGGAAAAAAATGTATATTTTCTTCTTTTAATCTGTTGGAATTAGACAACATTTCTTTTATAATTTGGCAAATATAAACTAATTTTTGAGGTTTTTTTTTTTTAATTAGTACACCAAAAATAAAGAATAATAAATTTTTGAATAATTGTATAAATTAAAAATTTATAGTATACAATATTATTGTACTAATAATTATTTCGTATTATAAATAATTTATATGCATGTAATAACTTTAAGAAACATCTGTCTTTCAACTTTATATAATATAATAATTACATAATAAATTTTTTTTCATTCATTATATTACACTGGGAAAAATTTTTTTTATTTAATTCAAATAATTGTTGTCTAATAATAAATATTTACTGAAATCAAATGATTTTTTATTTCAATGAAAGTTTTTTCAGAGTTTTATATTTAAAGGATCAAACTCCAATAATAAATTATTATTATTATTATTTTAACTCTCTAAATCTGAATTAGTAAAAATGTTTACTAATTTGAATTAGTGACTCACTTTTTGCTTCTGAATTAGTAAAATTTAACTATAATTCTAAAGCAAAAAGTGAGTCACTAATTTAAATTAGTAAACATTTTTACTAATTTAGATTTAGAGAGAAATTTTGATGAAAAATATTAAAAAAATTAAATTTAAACTTTTTTTAATTTATAAATTAATTTTTTCGTGTAAATAAATAAAATAGTTTACATTCATAAAGATTGAGATTCATTTGATTAAACAATTTTTTTTTAAGGTTGCGCTATCTTTTTTACATCTCCTTCAAACTGTTACCATTTAGATTATTATTATTATTATCATTATTATTTCCTCCCAAGATTCGTAAAAGTGAAAGCTCAAAAAGAATTTTTTTTTTAGACCTTATCATTTCAGACACAGTTACAAGTGACAATTGTCATCAAAATATTGTACATTCAAAGAGTATAGTTGGGAAACTACACCTTGAGGCTGTATACCCGTCATACATATATATGTGGAAATAATGTGCGCGCACATATATATTAAATGTAAACATGACTTTTCTCTCCCTCTAATTGCAAAAAAAAGAAGTCTTTTATAGAGTGCAATTTTTTTTACAACCCATTTATTGTTCATACGTACACTTTTTTTTTATTCCAAAAAATGTTTTCTTATTTTTAATTTCAAGTCGTGTGACTTTATAATAAATAAATATAAAACAAAAAGTTCTCAAGTAATCCGGGCAGATTTTTATCAACAGCTCCGAAAATTAGCAAAACTTTTATACTTGCTTTATGTGAATTTTATTATTCAAGTATTTTTTTTTTTTTTTTTTTTTTTTTTTGTATATACTAAAAAGAAAAAAATCACGATTTTTGTGCGCTGGTGAAATAATGATAAAATAAGAAGTTGAGATGTTTTCAATTATGAGAAAATATTCCACGAATAATTACATCTATTAGGATTTTATGACTTGGTTTATTGTTGCAAGTTTAGTTCTGTAATAATCGTTAGTTATACTACTCACTTAAATGTAGCAAGTAAAACAAGTTCTTTATTTAAAAAAAAAATAATAATAATTTAAGAATAGAAAAATTTTTCGTACTTTTAGGAGTAGTGACTAATTGTCAGTCGAAAATAATAATTTTAAAAAACAAAATTTATTGACATTTTCAATTTAGCTAATATAAAAATTAATTTAATTCATAATTAGTTTATTTTAATTAATTTTGAAACTGATTCATATTTAAAGAATAAAATGTAAAATAATTTTAAATAATTTTTTATTCTCAAATATACAGCATCCTCATCAGATCTACAAAGTTGATATAAAATTATAGCATGATGAATTTTGATATTTTCGATTGAAAATGAAATTATTAACATTTTTTTTTTGTTTTGTTTAATAAAATAATAATAATAATAATAATAATAATAATAATTGTAGTTATAAATAAATAATTTGGAAATTTGTGAGATTAAATACTCATGGCTTAATTATACATTGAAAAAATTTTTTATTTGATTCAAATAATCAGTTACTTTACTATCATAAAATAAATATTTACTTGCACCAAATAATTTTTATTTAAATTAAATAAATTGTATTTGAACCAATAATTTCTGTATTTAAAACAAATATCATTTAATTAAATATTATTATTATTATTATATTTAAAAATTTAAATATCATTTCAAATAATAATTATCTAATACAAAAAAAAAATATTTGGTAATAGTCAAGTAATCGATTATTTAAATCAAATAAATTTATTCTTCAATGTATGATCGAAAAATATATATATATTTTTTTAATAAGAACCAATCTAAATGTTAGATAAAATTTTTTAACGTGAAGTAAATTAATGTAAAAAATATATAAAAATAGACATGTTTTCAGTAAGGAAAAAAATCATTATTTTGATATCATGACATAACCGCATATAATATTAAAATCTTAAACTATATAAACACAAAAAATTATTATATCATAAAATAATACAATTTAATTGAAATATATATTTGTAAAAAATTAATTTTCAAAAAAAAAAATATATATATATCAAAATTTATCATTGTATAATTTTACATAAACTTTGTAGATCTGACGAGGATGCTGTATCGATACGCGACATTATTAAAATAACACGATATTAATTTATATGGATTATAAAAAATTTTAATCGAAATTAATTATAAAATTTTTACGAATTGATTTAATAAATAAATTTTTAGTAATAACTTAATAAAAATTTAATTTAATAATTTAATAATAATTTAATTCAATAATTTAATAATAAAATTAATTTAATAAATTCTTTAATAATAAATATCTATTTAATTTATATCGTATTAATAATTTATAAAATAATGAAAAATGTATATATATATATATATATATATATATATAATTCATATTAAATTTATAATGATTAATTCAAAAATAATACATAAATCATTTATAAAAAATTATCATTGCATTTTTTTTTATTATTATTAAATTTTATTGTATTTTTTTATTTGATATTGTATATTACAAATTTTTTCATTTTATTCTTTTTTATTTAATATACGTATATTATAAATATTAAATTTTGAAAATAAAGAAAATTTAATAATAAAAAAAGCGTAATATCCCTAATATCATAAAGAAAATGATAATTTTTATTAATTTATTATTTTTGAATTAATCATTATCTGCGCCTAAAAATAATATATATATATATATATGTATATATCAATTTTTTTCCATTTGTAAAAATTCTTTCAATTTTCATCATTTCCATCAAAAACAGTTGATTACTATGTTTTTTTTTTGTTTTTGTTTTATCTCTTAGTTTTTTTTCAAACTATAAAATATTTGAAGATTAAAAAAAGTGGAGAAGGCAAGCATTATAAGTCAAATTATTATCAGTATATATAGTAACTCAGAAAACACACACACACACACATATATATATATATATATATAGTTTGCAAATTGGAGACAATGACCTATCAAGATTTCTTTGGTCCTCTTTGCAGTCGCATTGGAACCTGACATTAACATTAGAAAATACAAACGTTGTATTCACACACGTGGTGGAAACACACCTGAGAGAGCTCTACCAATCGCAACTCCACTCGATCCCTCTTTCTACCTCTTTACTCCTCACAGTAAGATTCTCGCGTTGTCGCGACGACAGTACTTGCATGGTGTTTATCGTGAATACCTTCTTCTTCTTCTTCTTCATAATCGTCACTCGCCATTATCGTTCATTTGATAATTCTCACCGAAAAAAAATATTTTTTCTACCCTTTTTCACAAGAAAGAAAAAAAAAAAAAAAAAAAAAATCCGGAAGTGCCTAAGAAATCCTAAAGGAACAACGCTTGATCAACATTGTGCTCGTTCGATTGTGCTACCAGCGGAAATTAATCGTCAAACCGTTTGACTCGTTTCATGAGGAAAATCGACTTCCGGTTCCTTAAGTGAATCTGGAAAAAAAAAACACCTTATTTTAGTGTGAAGGAAAAAGTTGAAAAAATATATTATTAACCTCCATATTTTTTTGGAGGTAAAATAGAGACAAAAAAAAAAAAAAAATTGTGTAAAAATGTTTTACAGTGTGAGAAAAATTTTTTTTTATTAATTTTTTTTGTAACAATGCATTTTGGTAGAAAAAAAAGATTTTTTTTTCTCTAAATGCCTCGGATTTTAAAGTGAAGACTAAATCTGTTTTTTTTTTTTTTTTAATCGAACATTCTTAAAATGTAAATGTCGAAATGTAGATAATTTTTAAAAATCTGCCTTGTTTGGTTTATTTTTTTTTTTTTGTGACAATATTTGTGAGCGAAAGGATAGAGGGGAAAAAATTTTTGGCAAAATTTCTGCTAAAATACAGTGTACTTATGTATTTGATTTGTGTCACGAATGGTCACTGGAAAACACATGAACGAGGTGCAGCAATTTGTGTTCAAACCTCACACAATTGCTAACACCTTTGATCACTCCAGTACAGAATGTTGGAGTCTGATCTTGGAAGAAGGATTGTTCCAGGTAGATTTCATTTTTTTTTTCTTTTTGCAAAAATTTGAGAATTTTCGTAAAAATTTTTTACATTGAAAAAATCTTTTTATTTAACATTTTTTTTTTTTTAATTCCATTAATTATATTTGTTTAATTTTATTTAATTTATAATTATTATTGATTTTTATAAAACAGAAATTCAATTGCCATATTAATTAATTGTAGAATAAACATTGGAACGGAAGTAATTTTTTATTATACACATATAGTGGAACTTGGATAAAGTCAAAGTTCAAGGGAAATGCTTAAAATTCAAGTTAGATTTCGACTTGCAGAGAATTTAGTAAAATAAACCTAAATTTTTTTTTCTCGCCTTATCGAATAAATAATTAATTTCCATTTTCACTAAATAAATTTTTAAATTAATATTAAAATAGTTATATATATATATTTTTTTTTATTTAGAAAATATTTATAAATATCAAGGGTAAAAAAGGAAAAACAGCAAAAAAAATTAAAATTAAACAAATAATATTAATATTTTCCAAAAGAGTAAAAAAAGAAAAACTAGTATACAAATTTTTAAAGTAAACAAAAAATAAAAAAGATACCTTTTTCCGCATTCGTTTATAAAAATAAGTCATTATATTTTGACAGAATTCCCTAAATTTATCCTTGGGAATTATATGAGACGCTGTCTGCCTTAATTGAGTAAAGAAACTCGATTAGGCATCAAAATTTCATCACCCGGAAATCATAGATTCAAATCTCTCATTTCTCGAGGTCGAAATAGCACAAAACGACAACGTGCGCAATGAATCATGTGAATGCGACAGCCAAAGTTTAATAACCAATTCACATCAAAATGTTGGGTGAAAGTTACTGGACTGAAAAAAAAAATAATTATAATTAATAATTTATAACTATAATTTTTATAAAAGAAAAAAAAGATAACAAAAAAAATTCAAATAGTAAATAAAATTCTTGTATTTTCAATTTTTCTATTTTAGAAGGAAAAAAAAAAAGATGATTATAGTTGAGAATTTGCATTTTTTTTATGAATTCAATAAATTTTTTTGTCCCCAGAAGATTAAGCTATGAAGAATCAATCAAAAATACTCGTTTTAAGTACTTATTATGTAATGTACATTAATTAAAAATACATCTTCGGAATACTATATATTTAAAGCGATTTGTTATTTTAATGACATCAGTCGCCGAAGACAATGGGCACAAAAAAAGGAATTAAAGTATAGCTTACGTTATTTTATTTTTGCTTAATGCTTTCGAATTTATTTTTATTTAAAAATTTGAAAATTCACTTACGTAAATATATTTATTATCTTCAAAGTTATTTAAAAAAAAAAAAAAAGATATTTTTATTTACTGAATAAATAGAAAATTCAATTGAAATTATTAAATTTTTCCACTCTAATCATAAATATTTATTTTGTATTGAATTTTTTTTTCTATCAAAAAAGAGAAAAAAAAACGGTACGGTAATTTTAACCACAATATTGCAAGTAAATCCTTTTTTAATGTCTTGACAAAATTCAAGAGTTATATGATCTTATCACGTTTTTACATGAAAATTTTCTATTCCACATATATATATATATATATGTTTTTCTGATTAGATAAATTCCGAGTTCATGAATAAAAGAGTGTATTTTTGAATTTCATCGAAATACGTTGACTTTCAGTATAATATGCGGTATATAGAAAAAGAAAAGTTAAAGAAAATTTTTTTTTTTGAACATTTTTATAAATATTTTTCAAAAAAAATTATTAATTTAGATATTTATAATTAAAAAATAATTAAATTAGATAGAAATATTAAATATTAATATTTTTTGCATAAAAGTTTACTATAAAAATGTAAAACATAAAATTATTGATTATATTTTATTTTTAACAAAAAGCATATACTAATTATTTTATTGAATAAATTATAGTTAAATCAAAGTTTTCTTTTTTAATTTTATGTTTAATGTCAATTTTTTTGTTTTCCTTTTTTTTTCTCTTATGATGTAATTTTTCTTTATCTTCTTTGACAAAAACGATAAACAGGTGAAGTTCGTGTTAAGTTTGCTCATGTGTTGAAATTTCTATTGTCACAGATTGATAAAAAGTTCATATTATATGAGATTTATACTTGAAATTTAAGGACAGAAATAAGGTTTCCTGGTAAAATTATTATTATTATTATTATTATTATTATTTTAAGAGTCAAAAATTGATTAATTTTTTTTAAAAAAGATTTTTTCTACAATAATCGTTAGGTTATAAAATCAAATTTTATCGTAATTATAGTTTTTAAATTAAAAAAAAATTTCATTTTAATTAAAGAATTACATTTTTTTTTTTGAATAATTAACTATTGAAATCAAAATTAGTAAAAAAAAATTTAACTAATTTAGATTCAACTAAAGTTTTGTTATAAAAAAAATTATGTTTACATTAATTTTACTAAAAATTTACAATTAGTTTTTATTAAAAAAAAATTGATAAAAGAAATTAATTAGTATACAATAATTAATTAGTGAAAACAATTGTGACGCTCTCTGAAGAAAGGGACCTAACAAAAAAAAATTATAGGTTATGTTTATTTTAGTTTAACCCTTTGATTAAAAGTTTCTTTTTAATATTGTAAAATAAATATCAATTTTGTATTGAATATTTCAAATGTAAAAAAAGCCTTAATGATTTTTATATTGAAAGTTGATTCTTTTTTTGTATTTTCACTTTTAACTTTATAAACATAAACCTATAATTTTTTTTGCTTCTCCAAAGTGCGTCACAATTTTTTTTTTCCCTTTTAGGAAAATTAAATAAATTTGTGTTACGTGTAATTATAATAAAATTAATTATAATGGCTGAAGTTTTGTTATAATTTAGTAAAAATTTTACTAATTATATTCTTTAAATTTGATTTAAAAATTACTATCAGTTAAATCGCGGCTGACTTTTAGCTGGAAAAAATATTCAAAGACTCATTGAATTTGTTAAATAATAGAAAGTTGACTGAAATTTCGGTTATTTTGACAAAATCTAAATGAATTTACGATAATTAGTTATTTTCAACTAAATGATTAGTTGAATAAGTGAATTTGAATTTATTTGAATATAAAATAAAAATAAAAAAAAAATATTTGATTGACTTTTTTGCCCATTAAATTAGTTATTTTTTTTTTACTAATTCAAATTTCGAAATTACTGATAAAAATTCATTGATTCAAAATTTAAAAAAAATACTATAATACAAAAGAAGAGATTTCCAGTAAATATTTAAATTGATAAAAAAAACCAGTAATCCTTGTATCAACTAATTTTATTAAATTTTTTTTTCGTGGCGCAAAAGAAAAGAATTTAGACTTTTTTTTCAAGGTCACTTTTTAGAATATTCGTCCTTAAGTCCATTTATAATTCTAAGGGGGAGTTACAAAAAAAAAAAAAAAAAAAAAAAAAAAATTGCTCACAGACACAAAAATACATAAATAGAGAAGTTATACACAATAATGGGTTGTATTACGTTGAATATGCGCCTGTGTCTCGATATATATGGTAACACATAGCAATTACAGGTGACTGAGGTCAGTGTTAATATGACACTCGCGTGAGAGAGGAGTTCCAAAAATGACATGTTCGCGAATGCCGCTGCCGTGTTTTCTTGCGTAACCCCCCCTTTTTTCTTTTTTTGCTGCTGCTGCACAATACGCAGGATGTATATATTATATATATATATATATACGCGATCTCCTCATAGGCAAGGGTCCCGGCAGTATTTTATAAGAATATAATATTAATTTAGTGTACTTATTACGTGCCAGAAGATATATATGTATAGTTGTCGCGACAAGTATATAAACGCAAAGTCCCCCCATGGTCGTCGTAATAGAAGGTTTTTACCTCGTAAGTAGAAAACCAAGGACTTGTCATTCTTTGCGGACAATTACACACACGAATTTCAGAAATCCTCTCTCTCTTTATATATATATATATATATACTTGGCTTAATTCAACATCAAATTAAATTAGACGTTTAGGAAACAAAAAAAAAAAGAAAATTAGGCAGAGACCTCGACCCACACGAGTCTTCTTTTTTTTTTTGTTTACGACATTTGGAAAAAAAAATTTATGTATATAAATATTGCTTCAACTTATTATTATTACTATTGTATATTTGTTAATAATCATCGTTAATTTGCTTCTTATTGTTGATTTTTAATTTTGGACTTTGAAGCCCATATGCAACACCTATATAATTTTTAAAACAAAGAACCAACTATGAATTCATTTTTTCTTTTTTTTTATATTATTTGCGGATATAAATTATTAAATTCACTCACGGAATTTTGGAAACAAAGTAGAAATTTTGTGAATTAAGTTAATTATTGCACTAGAAAAAAATTTATTTAATTCAAATAAATCGGTTACTTGACTATTATCAAATAAATATTTACTTGGACCAAATAATTTTTATTTCAATTAAGGAGATTCAACCCATTAACATAAACTCAAACTAAAAAAAATAGTTTTTAACAGAACTAAAAATATATTTAAAATTTATTACACCCAAATTCGACCAAATCAAATTGTACAATTTTGGAAAAAAATTATTTTGAGTTAAAATTTATCGTTAAATAATAATTAATAAACATTTTGTATTTTTTTTTTCTTATAATTTAGTGAACAATTCTAATTTTTATCCATATTTTTAATAAAATTCAACAAACTAACAGAATTGTAGAAAATCTTTCCAAAAGCAAAATGAGCTATTGTTTGTAAGAATTGGATAAAAATTACAATTATTGACTAACTTTAAATAAAAAATATATAAAAAAAGTGAAATAATTATTAATTAACAACAAATTTTTGGGCAAAATAATTTATTTTGAAAATTGTACAATTGAATCTTTCAAAATTTGATAAAATTAATTTTATTTATAATTTTATTTGTTGTTAAAAACAATTTTTTAGTTTGAGATTATGTTGAATCTTTTTAAATAAATTGTATTTGAACCAATAATTTCCCTATTTGAAACAAAAACCATTTAATTGATTCAATAATTATTTAATACAAATAAATATTTATTTGATGTCAAGTAACCGAGTATTTGAATTGAATAAAAAAAAATTTCCACAGTACAAAAAAATAATAAATGCAGACCTCGAAGCGTTTTCTACGTTTACGTAACAAACAATTAAAAAAATTAATAATTTACGTATCAAAATTTCTAGTTCTTTTTTTTATTATAAATTGTTGATTTCAAATCTATAAATGTAATAATATATACTAAAAAGTCCTTAAAGTGTGATAAATTATAAATCATTATTAATAAAAAAGAAAAAATTAAGTTCGGAATAATTTTTGAAAACTTTTTTTTGTTTTAATTTGTATGAGTTCAAATCTTTAAGAATTTTTCTGAATTCAACAATTTCCTATAAATTGTCCATTATTTAGGCGCAACATTATTTTAAAAAAATGACTATAAAATTGATTTTTAATTTTGTTAAATTACTATTATTATATTTAGAATATTTCAGAATTTAACTATATAATAACAACAGTTTTCAGATTTTTTGAAAAAATTTTCAAATTTCATTTTATACTACAAAAGTTGCATTTATTGATAAAAGTCGAAGAAAAGCATTTGTTTTTTTTTTTTATATTTGTTAAAAATACTACAAAAACGATGCTATACTTGGATTTTTTTTAGTGAAAATTACATACTTTTCGTATCTTTAGTCAAAATTACGGACTAAAAAAATGTATTTTTTCTTAATTTATGTAATTGGTTCGAGACCTGCAAATATTTATATTATATAAATAAAAAGTTAGTTTAAAAAAAATAATAGAAAGAAATTATTTGTTCTTCTAGGTAAAAATTGTGAAATTTTTTCAAAATATTTGTCACAATAGACATTTTTTGCGATACGTAAAAATGAACGAAAAAAAAAAAAAAGATAAAATAAATTCGAGAACATTCTTGACCCTTATATACACATGAAACAGAAATGTAAACTCTGTAAGCATGAAAACTAGCTACTTCGCCATATAGTAAGTAGCGAAGAAAAACGATGAGCCTTAACAACGGACTATGACAGTTACGATGGCTTTAGAATTTATCGCTTCCCTTACTGTTCATGAATCGGTAGAGTCTTGACTTTGAATTCCGGGGTCTTCGAAGTCAACGAGAGAGATAGACTATACACAAGTTGAGAGGGAGGGAAGCATGTCAAAAAATTTGTCAGAAGAATGAAATAATAACTCTTAAAAGCGCAGGTACCATATTCCAAACACAAAAGGGACTTGTGTCCCTTTAATGTCTAATCGACAGGTTCTTCTTCTTTTTTTTCCGCACACGATTTCGAAATATGAACCTTTTTTCACAATAGTTTTCAATCGTCTCTCTCCCTCAAGTGGCCACAAAGTTTTGACAGGAAAAATACACACAGTTCCCTGCGGTCTTCAAAAATTGTAATTAAGTGAGAGATGCTGGGCCTCCTTTTTTTTTTTCTTCTTTCTTTTTCCTTGAACACGAGAGATTATCTCGACGACTACCAGTTTCTTTAATTCTTTTCATTGGGGGGAGGGATTACACACGCCTCTGGACCAATGCTTTTAACCAAAAATTTGTCATCGAACAAATTGGATTTGCCTTTGTGTTGGAACTAGAAAAAAAAAAGAAGTCAACATGAGATGTGAGAGAAAAATAGCTTCTATTCAAATTTACGAGATTTATTTTTCAATTAAATTGTAATAGTCAGAAAGAGGGTACAAATAGAGAAATTATATATTTGCAGAGACAAAAATATATTTGTTTCAAATAAATTTTATTTGATTTAAATAAAAAATTTTTATACACTCTAAATAAAAGTTTATTTGTGCTAAATTAAATTTTTTATTTGAAACAAAAAAAGTTATTGGACAAATATATTTTTATTTCATTCAAATAAAATTTTTCTCTTGGTGTGATTTTTTAATTGTTTCTTTTTCTATATATAGATACAATTTAAAAAATAAAATAAAATACAAAAGTAAGAAAAAAAAAATTCTTAATTAGTTCAAAATTGTCTGTATCTTTGTTAAAAAAATATTTTACGATCATTTTGAAATTCAATTTCTTTAAATTAACATCGTGTCAACTTCTATGCGCTTATTATTCGTTTAAAATTTAAATTCCATAATTGCCACATGATAGTTATTTAAAAGAAAAAAAATTTCTTTTTAACGTATTTTACTCGTTAAAATTTTCACAAGTTTCATTCTCACAATTATATATAAGTCGAGCATTTCAAGATTCTTGACAGATAGGACAAAGCTCCACTTCGTGTAAAGTGTTGTCAGCTGCCTTCTTATAAACTTCCCTATACTTTACTATACTTTTTTTATTTCTCATCCTCTTTGAATTGCATCCTCATTATCAAATCAAAAGAAAGAATATTTTTAATTAAATGAATAATTTTTAATCAAAAAATTCTTAGCAATTTGATTTTTAACACTTTAAACTAATATATTAAAATTTACACTTGAAAAAAAAATTGAAAATTTTTTAACAAAACGAAAACAATGAAAACGATTATCAAATTTTAGGAGATTAATATTATTATTATTTATGATTATTTAATTATTTAACTATATATAATAAATTAATTCATTAAAAATTAATAACAATTTCATTTTCCACCATCAAAAAATTTGAATTCACTATTTTTTTCTCATCAATAAAAATAAGAAATGATTAAAATTTGAAATATTCATCTTGATTGAAAATTAAAATTTGGAACAATTGAATTTCGGATTTCAAAAAAATTGTAAAAGAATTGAGATTTAAAAATACGCCGATGAAGTTTACAATATTTATATGATAAAAATTATAATTGTTTAATTTAAATAATTGAATTTAATTCAAAAATTTTTAAGTCAACAATATAATAAAAATAATGAAAAAAAATGCAATTTCGAATTAAATTGGAAAAAAATTGTTCATTTTTGGTGGGGAAAAAAAAAATTTGCTTTTCGCAAAAAAAAAAAAAAAATTGAGAAAATACCGGAAGACGTATAATATATTTATATATCAAACACCTTGAGAGAGCTTCTGTTCGAATTGCGAGTGATTTGTTGCTACTGGATTAATAAAACGTAAATCATAAATTTATTTACCAACTCATCGTATCGTATTAATCAGTCTTAACTAGCGATATAAATTAATGCACACAAGACAACTGATGAAGGAATACATTTTTTTTTTTTAAATTTAAAAATCGCTAAAGCTAGACTCGGCTCAGACTTTGTAACACTTTTCTGCATGTGCGAGGAAAGAAAATATTCTTCCGTGTTTCGTCTTATAGGACATAAGGCCGACAAATATTACATTGCGCCCGGTAATCATTTCCACGGTCACTAATTACGTACAGTCACTCACACTGACCAGGTGTTATGATTTATGCGCTTTGCGGTACTCCTCTCAACTCAAAAAGGTACACACGTCTTCTCGTTCTCCCAAAAAAAAAAAGAAAAAAAAAACTTACTACAGTCGTAAAATTTTTATAAAAATCACTTGATCTTATATAGCTATAGAGTCGACTCAACTATATATATAGTATATAGGTATATAATAAAGTTTTCCAATAATTAGAACGTTTTCTCAAACTTGCGGTACAATTTTACAAAATACAAATTAACCGTTTCTATAATTTAACGTCATTAGTAATTAAATTACATGGAAAAAAAAATAATTATAAAAATAATTAATATAAATGAAAAAAAAGAAATAATAAAAGAGAGAGAGAGGTCAAGAAGCCTCGAAGCAATTGAAAAGAGTTAGTAAATTTCTTCAAGATTATGCTTAAAATAATGAGAAGCCCTCAAGATACAAGTAATGACAATATACAATGTGGATTATAATTATAATCACAAAAGAATATCCCGCGAGGCTTCAGTGAAGTGAAGGTATACAGGAAAATTGATGAGCGCAAAAGAAAAAAAAAAAAAAAAAAAAAATTAATAAAAGGAGTCAATTGATGTCACTGGTGATAATTTCAAGGGCAATTAATTACACATCTTTTTTCAAAAGTGTGCCGATAAGATATAAAAATTAAATTTCAGTTTGCTTCAAAGGTCAAAAATTCTTTTAACTCTGAAATTAATTTTTAAAAAAACTATCATCACATTATATATTACTTAAGACTTGATTTTACTAATAAAACATATTATGAAAATATTAAAACATTTTTTTTTTTTTTTTTGAGTCTCACAAAATATTTCCCACAAAAAATTATTGGTACATAATTCTGTTTCGAAATTTTTGAATTCAAATTTCAATTTTATTGAATTTTTTAAATAAAGTTGACAAATATGAAATAAAATTTTCCAATTGAAGAATTTTTCATGATTTTTAGATTCAGTAACTAATTTTTATATTTTGTTTTAATTATTATATTTACTATTATTATTATTATTAATATATTATAATTAGGTAAATATTTCTTCAATAAAGACATCGGATCGAGTTTAAGGCGCAAAAAATTTGTTTTAATCGATTTAAATTTGAAAAAAAGTCAAATTCAAAAATTTTAAATAAAAAAAATATATATAAAAATCACATTTAAAAAACAAAATTCAAATCTGATTTTTATGAAAATTATTTACTTTTTGAAAATGTGATACTTTATAGAAAATGAGAGAATGTTTATCTAAAAATGTTTTAAAAAATTGAATTTTTAATTTGAAAAATAGTTTAAATGATTCAATTTTCGAAAACCAATTAAAAATTATTGAAAATAATTAATTTTGCAAAGACTTTTTAGATTCAAATTTTCAAAATAATTTAATTTTCGAAAAGCTACAATTTTTACTTAAAAAAAAAAAATTATAGATATAAGTATTTTTTTTTAATTCAATAAATTAATTAATTTTTACTTTTTTATTTTGTAAAATAAGTCGAAACAGTCGCATTTAGAAAAAAGGCGTACAATTCGAAACTCGCTAATAAAAAATTATAAAATTAAAATTTAGTTACATTAAAAATCCAATTAATAAGAAAATTCGGTGAAATGCAAAATTTGCTTTTATTAAAAATTTGGTCAAAATAAAAATTTGATGAAATAAAAATTCGATTCAAGGAAAATTAAATTAAATAACAATTTGGTTGAAAATGAAATTTAGATCAAAAACAAATTCAGTTCAAGGAAAATTTTACAAAATTAAAAATAATGTGATTTTTAATTAAAACATTTTGTGATTTCTGTTGATAATAAATTTATTAGAAATTACAGACAAATATTAAATTTCAAAAGTTTTCAATTAAAAAATGTTTTTAAATTGAATTTTTGAAGAAAAACAAAAAAAAATTGTATTTCGATTATGTATAGAAATTTTTGCTAAATCAAATAAAATCTCATTTAAATAAAAATTTTGCAATGTAAAAATTCGATTTAATATTAATCACAACTTTATAAATTTCGGTTAATATAGAAATTCGACCTTTTCAAATTTGATTCATGTATCCAATTTCTTTAAAATAATTATTTATCATATTTCAAATAATTTATTACTTAATAATAATAATAATAACAATAATAATAATAATAATAATAATAGTATTAAAACTATTATCTCATTATTAATAGTAATTTTATTAATTTGACTTCAACCTTGAATAGTGAAATAAAAAAAAAATACATATATTTTTCAATAATTTTTTTTTCTCACTCACCTGAACGTGTTTAATTGTGATTTTGTGCCACAACTAGAAGAGGATTATCAAAATATTTATGATTGGTGGTATACAGGAAGCTTTATCATACCTTCTGTCAGCACATTTGAATGATTGTCCGATTTCAACCTCTGATCCTTGGCGCATTGGTTTTTGAGTAGCTCGTTACCAGCTCGTTATAAGACTCTCCCTAGATCAATGACGAATGGCCGGTAAAATATACCACACACTGTCGACCTCAGTTTTCTGCTCAATTCGCAATTTTCACTTTTATTACCCCCCTTCAAACATCACTATATAACTCTCCATAAAATTCCATCAATGAATATTAATCCATTAAATAAACATCGTTTCATTCCATTTAATATTCATCGTTCCGTTATTTCTAAAATAAAAAATTTTTTTTTTTTTTAATAACTCAGCAGGAAATGTGAAAATTTTTTTTTGAAGTTATTTTTTCTAATTCTTTGCACAAAAACAAGAAAATAAAAATAAAAGCATTTTTAAGATAAACAATAGAATTGAATGTCTCTCAACGCATGCAATGTAAATAATTAAAAAAAAAAAAATCTATAAATTCAATATGAACTGGAATTCGTTAGACTTTGAACCGTTTGGAAGTGACACGCTATTTGTTCTATAGATATTTCAGTATCGAGTTATAAAGAAGGAGGTGTGCCTTATAACCAAAGATCCTTGAAGGATCCTTCATGCACTCATAATATTTACACATTACGTTTCCACTCTAGAATTAAAGACTCCTCTTCTCAATATGTGACAATCAATAAAAAGGAGAAATAAAGCAAAAAGGATTTTATTTAAATTATATTAAAATATAAGAAATAATCCATCCCCGGGGAAAAAAATATTATTATAAGAAAGTCATAGGTCTAAACTTCAAGGTTAAATAATTAAATAGAGAGAGAGAGAGAAATTTAAAAAAAAAATGATGCATAATTATATTCATAAGTGGAGCTCGCGGTGAAATAAAATCATTTTTCAACTAAATGTGGTCAAGACGCAATTGAATCAAGTTCATTTAGCAGTTATAAAATTAAAAAAAAAAAATTACAATATGCAAAAGCCAACCTGATTCTTAGTGAACATTAAAAGAAGATCCTCTTCTTCTGAGACATATATGGCAACTAATATTAATGCCTAATAATTATACTGAATAAATCATAATTAATAACATGGTCCATTATTATAAATTACAAAGTGAATACTGTCCGTTAGTTTATCTGTGAGTTATTAAGGGCAAAACTTTATATAGAAGACATTTTCCTTCCGACCTAAAAATTCAAACTTTCCTATTATTATTAATGTTTGTCATATCTGATAAATGAGAATAATAAGAATTAGTTTTCACCCATAATATTTGCAATTATTCACAACGCAGTTGACATTTGTAAATAATTGACAGTAATTTTTTTTTCAATTTCCTCATTAATTTACAATTATTTAATAATAAAAATGAAAAAATAAAAATAGGTTTTTAATAGTAAGTTACTAATAAATTTATGGGAAAAATTTTTTTAATTAACATATATTTCAATTAATTGACAAGTTTTGAGAAGTAAAATTAAATTTATAATGGGGAGTAAAATTAAATTATATATATATGTGATGAAGATTGACGTTTGTGGAATAAATTGAAATGGTTGCGTTTTCGTTTCGCATCCAAAGACACAAATGATTACGACGACCTTGTCAAATGTAATTTTCACCCAAGAATCAGAGAACTCGCAACGGGACGTCGTTCACATATTCGTTTGTCAAGATTCAAGTAATTTTTTTTCTCTCTCTACACTGTGAAATGCATAATTTGCTTTCTCTGTCTCTCAGTACACAAAATGATCTAGGATGTGCGAAACGAATTTCTTCTATATGTATATGCGATTATCATTGAGGATAAAAAGCAATAACCAACAAAAAAAACAAAGTTGATTTTCAGAAAAACAATCAAATCTCCCTAACCTTGAAAATAGAAAAATTATATATATTTTTCAACTTATGAATCATAAATTTTATTCTTTCGACTCTTGGAAATTATATAAGACGATAAAAAAAAATTGACAAAAAAAAAAAAAACAAAATTATTTAATAATTAAATATTCATTATAAATACACGGAAAAAAAGAAAAAGTAATTTTTACTACTTTCATAGTAAAATGGGATCTGTCCGAAGTTTCTGCGCATCTATGGCAACTTTTACTCCAAAAATAGTAAAATTTGCTCCAGAAATAGTAAAATTTACTCCAGAAATAGTAAAAATTATTACAAAAATAGTAAATTTTACTATTTTTTGAGTAAAATTTGCCAGAGATGCGCAGAAACTTCGGACAGGTCCAATTTTACTATGAAAGTAGTAAAAATTACTTTTTCTTTTTTTCCGTGTATAATAAGAATTGTTATTATTAGTAAATTAATTTTTCTCGCTCTAGGTGTCATTAGTGAAATATTTATTTTGTTATAAGATTCGTGACTCACAAGGGGGATTTTATATATATAATACTTTTACCAATATTTTCATTCATAACCGCGGGTTCTTTGCGTAAAGGCCACGTAGAAAAATATACAGGTGAATATACATAAGAAGAGACAGAATGGTGGCCTGCCTCTAGGGGTATATATATATATAATTCATTCTCTGCCATGAAAAATTGACAGGTCCGATTCACGTTGGCAGGTGTCACACGATCGTGAGAGGCCTTTGCTCAGAAATTCGATCGACAATATACAAACATTAATCACGATACCATCTGCGCAATCAAGTTCTCTCGTTTTTATATACATAAATATATACATCATTATTAATATTTTTTATTAAACAAAAACCTCATTTTTTTCTCTTTAGAAATTTTCAATTCAATGGAACATTATTTAATCGTTCCATTGTAATTTACAAATTGTCAAATTTTAATTAAGAAGAATTAAATAATAAAATTTCGACCAAGAACTAAAACCTCAAATAATAATATCAATTAATTATTATGACTATTAATAATAATAATAATAATAATAATAATAATAATAATACAATTTCTAATAAAATTCTAAACAAAAATTAAAACCTCGAATTGTTTATAAAATTAATTAATTTCTAATAATTTAATTAATTAAACTAATAAAATTCGGAACAAAAATTCAAACTTCGAATTGATTATAATGTTACTTAATTAATTATTTTATTATTATTATTATTATTATTATTATTATTATTATTATTATTATTATTATTATTACAGGCCTCGGATCGACTTTAAGGCACAAAAAAAGTCGTTTTATATTCCAAAAAAAAAAGTAAAAAAAATCGATTTTTTTAATTTTAACAAAATTTAATTGGTTAATGAATATTTTACTTTAAATAACTAATGTTATCAGATATTAAATTCATTTTATTAATTCTGTAATGAAAATAATTCTATAATAAATATTATCAAGAAAATTTATTTCGAATATTTCAGAATTGAACTAATTGTAAGACAAATGTTCAAAATTTTATACGAAGCTGAAGTACGCAACGTTTATATAAACGATTTTTAAAGAAATAATTTTTTAAAATAAAAAATTCTATAATTTTTTGCCTAAAAATTATTTTTTTATAATTTGTTGATTAATAAAAACTACAAGAAATATTTTTTAGACAAAAAATTATAGAACTTTTCATTTTAAAAAATTATTTCTTTAAAAATCGTTTATATAAACCTTCGTAATTTTATTTCACTATGACAAATTTAAAAAAAAAAATTCTTATATTTCTTAAATTCTAATTTTTATAATTTTTTTAAGAATTAAAAATTTTGTCATAGTTTTTAGTTTTGATGGGCAACAAAATTTCAGGCAATATACTTAATTAAATTTTATAGATTTTTAAATAAAATTTTTTTTTTTAAATAATAATTTTAGGAGAGTTAAGGGTTGAAATTTTTAAAAATAATTGAATTTTAAAAGGTTTTTGTTAATTTTCAGACATTGATTCACAGAAATAAAAATAATTTATCAAATAATTTTAGATAACATTTTTGAAATGAAATTCAATATTCAAAGATTTACAATTTAGATTTTTGAAATTAATTCACCTTCAAGTGATTTTTAATTAAAAATTTTTAATGATTTCTAATACTAAAACAATTATTAGAAATTGCAGACAAAAATACAATAATTTTAATTAAAAATAATTAAAATTTTTTCAAATAATTAAATTTCAAGTGATTTATAATTAAAAATTTTTAGTATTGATAATTTTATTTGCTAATTGTTTAAAAATTATAAACAATTATTGAATTTCATAAAAATTTTAATTGAAAAATAATTTAAAATAAATGAATTTGTGAAGAATTTCATTAAAATTATTAAAAATAATTAATTTAGTGAAGAATTTTAGTTAAAAATTTGTTAAATATTTGAAATAAAGAAGATCTGAAGGAGATCTGCATTATATACTAAAAAAACGTATTTTGTTTAAAAATGTAAAAAAGTCGAAAAAGGCGCATTTTATTAAAATAAGTCGAAAAAAAAGTCGTATTTTTGAAAAAAAGAAAAGTCGAATAAAGTCGTATAATAACGAGGCCTGTTATTATTAATGAACTGAAATGGAAAATTCATGAAAAAATAATTTACCTCGTGAAATGTATAATAACGTTGTACGAATTGAAGAGTTTGCGGCGAAAAGATGCGGCAGATGCGCTGACAAGCAGGAATTACATTGAAAAGCGTTGTACTCAACAGATTGCACTAACGACTGATTGATGCACCCAGACATAGCAATCCGTATACACGTTTGCTTCTTTCTATTCATCATCATCATCATCATCATCATCATCATTTTCTTCTTCTTCTTCTTTTTCTACTTTTCTCTTGGCACATTAGGAGCCAATGCCACTAGCATTATACAGGCTTTCATGTTCTGTACGGACAACTACCGCGTTTACGCCAAGATTCAAGTTCCACAGTGTTTTCATCTAAAGGTGAAAAAAAAGAAAATCACGTCGTCACCTGGTATCTTGTAATTTTCACGCACCTGCCTACTGAAATTGAAACAATCTTTCAAAAATGAAATTATTATTTTAATACCGTGTCAAGCGGGGTAATTGCACCCACACAAAAACACTATATTTTACTCAACTCGTCATCAAAATTTAAAATTATAAAAAAAAAAAAATTTAACTTTCGCGTTATGGTAACGCTTTAAAAATATCTTTCGTAAGAATTTCTTATCAAATAGAATTTGTAGGTCATTGAATTATTATTTAACAAAATTTTGTTCTAAATAATTTCTCTTTACCTAACTATTTATTATAATTCTAATTTAACCCAATTTTAATTTAGAAAAATTCTTATTTAATATAATTTTAAGTGCTTCCATTTTTTGAAATTCTATCACATGTTCGAATTACAAAAAATAATAAAACATTTTCTTATTGAGGAGCTTCTAGAAAGAATTTAATGTATAATTGTGCTCGTATTTTCTTTTTTTCTATTAGAGCAAGCGTCATAATAAATTAATAATAAGGTAGTACATAACGATTATTGACGTTCATCTTATTATCCTGACAAGAAATACTACGATTAATAATATTCTCCTTAACATCTTGTATCCTATATCTTTCAATGACACCTACACGAATTCAGCGGGGGGTTTCGTTCTTCAAGTTCGTGAATCTTTAAAATCTCTAGATCTACCTATTTGTGTGTGTGTGTGTGTGTGACACCTGACGGCTGTGGTTCAACAAATTTCATCTCAAGTGACAGATAATCGATGGTTGTTTGTTTGGCCCTCCAACGAAGGGCGTTAAAACGTTGTATATAAGTTCTTCTTCATCAATTTTCACCTCTCATTCTCAAAAAAAAAAGATCAATAATCTCTCCTTGTTGATCTATGAACATTAAAAATCATTTTTCAATCAATTAAAACTATATACAAAACATTTATCATTCAAATTAAATTGAAATTTACATTTAATATACAATAAATATTTTTTAAAAAAATGGATAGGTAGGCTTTATACAAAAAATGTAGTTACATTTTGTAAAGTTTTAAATAATTACAAGTATTGGAGAAATTTCAAAAATTGAACCAATCATTTTTTATTATTATTTTTTTTTTTTTTTGTTTAGCAAAAGTTTGATTTAGAAGAAAAAAAAATTTTTTTTCTATAAAAATTATCATTTTTTTTTACAGCGTTTCTCAATCGATAAATATTTAAAAGAAAAATTTGTATAGCAAAAAAAATATTATATTCAGTGTGAAAAATATTTTTTATATTTAAACGTTGTAAACTTTACCCACGTAAAAAAAAAATCAAGGAAAAAAGTTGTCGAAAGAAAATAGTAAAAAAATTAATGAAAAATGAATTAATTTTGAAAAAATTTTCTATTATAAATTCTGAACTAGTTAAAAATTAATATTTTTTCTTTTGATAACCATATTTTTTATTATCTAAATGAAACAAATAAATAATATAAATTCCTGCGATCATTTAAAATTTAAAGGGATTTTTCAAGAGCCTTTCCTAAAGAAATAAATATTATTAATTTAGAAAATTTTTTATAATTCATGGTTTTTTGTTATAAAATTCAAGGAATTTCAAGGTTTTCATGAATTTTTAAAAATTTCAAGGTCTACTAGACACCCTATTATCATTATTATTATATTTAATATTATAGTTTTAGAAAATATTAGATATAGAATTATTGTTTTTTAGTTTTTTTTTGACTCGAAAACGAGAGATAATTTTTAATTTTTTTCATGTTAAATTACAAAGTAACTTACAAAATTATTTTTTTACAGGGTCGCATGCCATTCATGCGTACAATGAGCACAGAACAGCGATGGCAGGATTTGGCATCATTGCTGTCATTGCCAGGTGGTCCAGATCATTTTGCACATCCAGCACTTCCTGGATATCCAGGACACGGCATTGGTCACAGTCATTACGAGGCACAACGTAGTGTATTGCTTCATAATGCAACATTGGCACCTCCCGTTGGCGATCTCAATGCCACAAGCCAATATCATAATGTTGGTGAGTTCCTTCTCATTTGTCCCTTAAACAAAAAAATTCCGAAAAAAAAACCAAACAACACGGAGGAAATATTTTTCTTTTTTGCTCACATTTTTCAATTTAATTAATTTATTTTTATAATAGATTTTAATAATTAATTAAATTAATAAAAAATCAAATCATTTTTCTTATTAATTATATTTTTTTTTTTCTATTTGAACTGAATTTTACTCACTTTTTAAAGGTGGACCATCAAATTTGGGATCAGCGGTGGCAACATCAATGAACTTAACAAATAGTAGTGAGCCAATGGGATCGGAAAATGGTGCATCATACAAAACGGAACCAAATGATATGATGTACTATCATACACCTCCTGATACCATCAATCAAACGACAGATGGATTTCTTTCATCTCTTCTCAATGATGAGGATCTTCAATTGATGGACATGACCATGAACGATGGTGAGTTCAATTTTTTTTTTTCTTTTCACTTTAATACTACCATATTTGAACAAAATTTAATTTCAATGCACTTGATAATTAAACTCATATACATTTATGAAAATATTTATTTTCGTTATACAAATTTTTTTCATTCGACCATTCCCGGTTCCTTCTATCCGTTTAAGTAATATTAATTAATAATTAATCAAATTTTTAAAAAAATCTAATATCAAAAATTAAAACTCAATTCAATGATAAAATTCCGATTTTTTGAAATTATTAAACAATTACATAATTATATAGAAGATGAAATATAAATACATATTTTCTTAAGCTCTAAAATAAAAAAGACTTCAATTTCAGTTCTGCTTTTATTACAAAAAGAAACTTGGTAAAAAAAAGACTTAATACTATTTCGTAGATAACACATTTTGTTTCATCTCTCTTTTTTTTTTTATCGTGAAAAAATATAATTTCAATTTATTACTATTACGTAAAAAAAAACTATATATATATAATAAACTAAAATATCTAAGTGTTGTTTTACTCTTAGATTTGTTTTTCTAATAACAACTGGTAACAAATTATCTTTTAAGATTTTAATAATAAATCTCTAAATATCTATAATAATTTTAAACTTATTTTTGTTCAAAGTTTTTAAACTAGCAAATAAATTGTGTGTATGTGTGTGTGTATTATTAAAGTTTGTGAGATTACTTAAAGAGAGAAAATTAAAAAATTATTATTTTTTTTTATATAAAAAAGCTTTAAACAAACGCAATACTGGTATTCACAAAATTTCTTAATATTTAGTGAAAGGAATCACACATTTATTTACCAATCATCCTCTGGTTCAGCAGGTGCAGAATTAAATTCTGATCCATTATTTCCTCCCTGAAAAAAGTTATAGAATTAAATAAATTGAAAAAAAGAAAAACGTTCGATAAGATTGAAAGTCATTTTTTAAAATAAAAAAAATTTTGATCTTGTCAAAAATTAAATTTAATTAACATTTTTCAAGTTAAAAACAAAAATTGTGTTAAATACGTTTTTTTAAATTTAATATTTGATATGTGTCTGAAAATTCTGAACGTTCAAATAAATAAAATCATTTTTTTATTTTATTTTGGTCTGTAAATTTTTAAAACAATTACTACAGCAATTAAAAATGAAAAAAATACAATAAATATTTAAATTATTAATTTATTTTTTAATATAAAAAACAATGTTTTATAATTAAATATGAAGTTCGTTTTTTGTTCTTTTGAACGTTCAGAATTTCAAACACAATTTTATTAATTTAAATATATTTTAGAAAAAATATATTATTAAAAATTAATTTGATTTTTATCCGGTTATTATTAAGAAATTTTTTTTTTTTACTAATTTAATTTCCATTACAATTTTAGAAATAATTAATTTTTAACGTCGGTAAAATTTTGGTTTATGATCAACGATTGATAAGAAAAAATATTTTTCTATTCTTATTATTATTATTTTTGAACTACAAAATTTTTTGCAACTTTTCTTGATCAATAATTTGTTGAAAAAAAAATTTGTAGATCAAAAAATTAGTTATTTTTTGAGTGAAAAATATTTTTTTTTTTTTCAATCGTGAATTTCACAGACGTAAATTTTATAAGGTTTTAAATTGCAATTTTTGAAAATAATTCAATTTCATGTGATTTTAAATTGAAATTTTTTATTAAAATCGAAAAAAGTATAATCCGAGCATTAAAATAAAAATCATCGGTACTTTGATTTGTAAATTAATAAATTAATTTTTAATTATGTTAATACAGTAAATGAAAAAATAAATAAAATTTTTGTTTGATAACACTCACCTTACTACGGAAATCTCGAGCTCCATATTTATTTGCCGGTTGATAGTCACCACCGCCGCTTCCTCCTCCTTCGAGAAAATCAGGAACTGGTTGTCCAGCTTGTTTCAAAATTCTCACAAGTTCTGAAGCAACAGCGCTGTCCTTCTCTGGATTATAAAATGTCGTTGCTCGTCCCTTATTTCCAACACGTCCCGTTCTTCCAATTCGATGAACGTGACAGTCAATTTCCTTACTAATTTCATATTGAATAACATGATTAACACCCTTGATATCTAATCCACGTGCAGCAACATTTGTAGCAACTAAAACATCCATATTTCGATATTTAAAATCATTAAGTGCTTGAACACGTTGTGGTTCTGTTCTATCGCCATGCATTGTGGTTGTTGAAAATTTACTCTCCGATAAAAGTGCACCAATAAAATCGGCAGTCTTTTTTGTCTCAACAAAAATAATTGTTCCCGTTAATGTATTATTCTCCCTTTCGCGTTCAAGAATTTCAAATAATTTTGGCTTCTTATTTTTACTGTCGACTTCATAAAAATTTTGTTCAACATCCGTATTGGCACCGCCAATAATACCAACGGCAATGAAACCATAATTTTCCTTTAAAAAGCGACCAGCAAGCTTTTGTATTTCATCGGGAAATGTCGCCGAAAACATCATTACTTGTCGTTCTTCTTTTGATGTCATTGTTTCATGATCCATTACCGATTCAATACCAGGTAAAAATCCCATGTCAAGCATTCTATCAGCTTCATCTAAAACAATAAATCGAATTGAACTAAGAAGAATGACTTCCTTTTTGATATAGTCATTTAATCTTCCATCAGTTGCAACAACAATATGACATCCATTTCTTAATCTTTTTGCTTGAAATCCCACTGAAGTTCCTCCATAGACAGATTCAATTTTCAATATTGTTCCATTGGCAAATTTTCGAAATTCATCCGTTATTTGCATGACTAATTCACGCGTTGGTGCCATTACAATACACTGTGGTTCACAATGTTCGCCGGATATCAAATCTTTTGGTTCTGACAATAATTTATGAATAATTGGCAATACAAATGCTGCCGTTTTACCAGAACCAGTTTGTGCACATGCCATAATATCAAGACCCTTCATTATTGCAGGAATTCCGTATTTTTGAATTGGCGATGGTGATTCATATTTACTTTTTTTAATATTCTCCATTAAATGTGTACGAAGATTGGCTTCTTCAAATCTTTCAATTGGTGGCGGTACATGTTCAGATGTTTTTACTGTAATATCTTTAATGTATTTTTGAAAATTTTCACCCGCACCAATTCCATTGGCAAATATTTTTTCCTCATCCTGCTCTGGTTCTGGTGGAGTGTAAATTTCCTTATTGATAAATTCCTTTTTCTCACCATCACCGCCATCATCGTCGAAATTACGTCTACCACCATCTTCACCATCTCTACCGCCACCACGTCCACGTCCACCACCTCCTCTTCCACCACGTCCGCGACCTCTTCCTCTGCCGCCATCATCATCATCAAAATTAGTTGAGCCAAAATCATCACTGTCTCGATTATTCCTAAAATGGAAAAATTCAAAATTTATAAATCAAATTCGCAGGACTCGATTCAACTTTAAGGTGTAAAAAAAAAAATAATTTTAGTCGATTTTTTAATTTTGATTAAATTCAATTAGTTAATAAATATTTTACTTTAAATAATTTATGTTATTAGAATTCTATTTAAATTTATTTTCTTAATTCCTTAATAAAAATAATTCTATAAGAATATTAGAGGCGTATGATTATTCCATAAAAATAATTAGAATTTTCAATTTAAAGAAATTTTATTAGATATTATTTATTTTTTAGACAAATTTTCATTTTTTTAAATTAGCGAAAAATAAAGCGAATTAAAAAATTACAAATTTAAAACGAATTTTTATTTCACAGAATTTCTTTTAACCAAACTTTTTATTTATTTATTTATATACATTTCATTTAAGAAAGAATCATAGAGAAAATCAGAATCTTTGTATTTTAAAAGAAAAATACAACAATTGGACTAATTTTTGTTTAGATTCATTATCTGGATTCATCCTTGAAAAGAATTCTAATTTAACCAAATCTTAAATTAGCATAATTCTTATACAAAAGAATTTGAAGTGATTTGAATTTTGAAATGCCTAAATTTCCAATTCACCGAATCTTTGTCTGAATTTTTATTTTCACGAATTTTAATTTGATAAAATTTTTCAGTTGACGAATTTCCATTTATTTGAAATTGCAAATTGCCGAATATACAATTAACAGAAAGAATTTCGAAACAATTTTAATAATTCTATCAAATAACAATTTGGACAAATTAGATTCGATGAATTGGAAATTTTAACAATTTAAAAATTCGATGCACTTAAAATTCTAGATTAAAAAAAAAAAAAAAAAAAAAAAAAAAATTATATGTAGAAGAATTTTTTTGAAATGAAAATTGTAACTAATGATTTTTATGTGATAATCATACGCCCCGAATGTTATTAAGAAAATTTATTTCGCATATTTCAGAATCGAATAACAAATTTTCAAAATTTTAATTAAGTCGATCAAATTTATAAAAATAAAATTCTTAAAATTCCAATTAAAAAATTTTTTTCAAGTCTGATATAAGCAATTTATTCAAATTTAAAATTTTGGCATAGTTTTTAGTCTTAATAAACGAAAAAAATTCCAGGCAATAATTAAATTTTACAGATTTTTAAATTAAATTTTTTTTTAAATAATTGAATAGCAAAAAATTTTTATTTTCTAATAAATTTTCTGCAAATTTAAACTGCTGTAGTTTTTTTTTCTAACAATTCAATTTTTGAGTTTTTATTTGAAACTTTTTTTTTAAATAATTGTATTTTTAAAGAAACATTAAAAATAATTGAATTTTAAGAAAGTTAAAAGTTGAAAATTTTAAGAAATAATTTAATTTGAAAAGATTTTATTAAACAATAATTTAGACAATAATTAAATTTTATTTTACAGAATTAAAAAAAAATTGAACTTCAAAATTATTTTTTATTGAAATTTTTGGTAATTTCTGTTTAATTGAACAATTCTTTCAGAATAATTGAATTTTAGAAATGTTCTAATGTTGAAATGATTAAATTTAAGAAATTATTTTTTTTTTTTAAATTTTTAACAATTATTGAAATATATATATATATATAAATTTTTAATTTGAAAAATAGTTTAAAATAATATTGAATTTGTGAAGAATTTCATTAAAATTATTGAAAATAATTAAACGTATTTTTTTAAAAAATTTTAAAAATTAAATTTGAATTACCTGTCAAACGACCTGAATCCGCTATCGCTGTCATCATCGTTTCTTCTAAAACCGCCGCCTCCTCGACCACCTCCTCGTCCACCTCTACCTCGACGTTCACCGTCATAGTTATTGCTTGGTCTAAAACCTCCATCATCGTTGTTGTCATCTCCATTTCTGTCATCGTCGTTTCTTCTAAATCCACCGCCTCCGCGGCCTCCACGTCCACCTCTACCGCGACGATCGCTATCAAAATTATCTCTTGGCCTAAAACCTCCATCGTCATCATTGTTGTCATCTCCATTTCTATCATCATCATTTCTTCTAAATCCACCGCCGCCTCCACGGCCACCTCTACCGCGACGTTCGCCATCGAAATTATCTCTCGGTTTGAAACCTCCATCGTCATCTCCATCATTTCTTCTAAAACCACCGCCACCGCGTCCTCCTCCTCGTCCACCACGTCCGCCTCTTCTTCCATCACCATTATCGTCACTGATGAAAAAAAAAAAAAATTATTATTTCTTCAAAATCACAAAAAAATTAAAATTGTATTATTTTTTTTTATTTAGCTTTATAACATTTATTTAATCTAATTATTTAAATTTGTTAATTAAAATAAATAATACTGATTATGTTTCTTTAAAAAGACATCTTTTTTTTTTTAAATAGAAGTAAATTTTCTTACCGATTGTACGAGGGTTTAAATCCATCATCGTCATTGTTATTATTATTATAGCTATACAAAATAAAAATATTCAAATTAAATTGTATAAAAAGAAATCGGACACTTATAAAAATTTCATTTTTTTTTTGCGCCTTAAGACGCATGAAAATAAGCTCTAAAATTTTTTGAACAAAATATTTTTAACGTTGATTAAAATTAAAATTGTAGAGACTGTTTCAAAGAGTAAAATAAGCTTCTATTTTTTTTTTTTTTTGACATAAAAAACACAATTTTTTAAATTGAAATTACAGTCATCAATGAAATTTGAAAAAAGTAATAATTTCTATTTTACTCAAACAAAATTAAAACACTACAATCAAATTTAAAAAAATAGTAATTGTACCTTTTAGTTGGTTTGAAACCATCATCATCACCTCCAAAGCTGCAAATAAAATTTACACATGAAAATCAATTTCTATTGAAAAAAAATTTGATAATTTAGTCAAAATTTTTTATTTTGTTTGAAAATAATAAATATTTATTAAAAAAGAAAAAAACACAAATTTTTGTTGAATTTTAACAATGTTTTGTTCAAAAATTTATATTGAACAATAAAAAATTTTTCATATATATATTTTTTTTTTTTTGAACAAAATATTATTTAACAAAAATAACCAACAAATAAAATTTTAGAAAATTTAGAGCAAAATAAACTTTTCTTTATAAAAATTGCAAATTTTGTTCACCAACTTTTAAACAAAATGTTTAATAATTAACATGAAATTTTAGGTAAAAACCTTTTTTTTTTTTAATTTTATAATTAAATCTTTCAAAATTTAGTAAAATTTAATTTAATTATATGGTTTTATTAGGCGATAAAAGAAATTTTTATTTTCGGATTTTGTCAAATGTTACCTTTTAGTTGGTTTGAAACCATCATCATCGCCTCCATAGCTGCAAATAAAATTTACACATGAATTAAATCTTTCAAAATTTTGTAAAATTAAATTTAATTACAGTTTTATTAGGCGATAAAAGAAATTTTTATTTTCGGATTTTGTCAAATGTTACCTTTTAGTTGGTTTGAAACCATCATCATCACCTCCAAAGCTACAAATAAAATTTACACATAAAAGTTCAGTTTTATTTAAAAAAAAAAGTAGAATAATTAAAAATTTCAATAAAAAATTAGTTTTTATTTCAATTCGAAGTAATAAATTTTTTTTTTTATAAAAATTCATAAATTCTTTATAAAATTCATTAACAAATGTTTAGGTAAAATTTGCTATTAAACTTTTAAAACTAAACGATAAAAGTAATATTCTAATTAATTATTATCAACACTATTAATAATTTATAATTCATTTTTATAAAAAAAAAATACGATAAGCATAATAAAAATTACCTTTTGGTAGGTTGAAATCCGTCATCATCATTATTCTTATTGAAGCTGAATCCACGACCCCTGCTACCCATTTTTACCTGTTGAATCACAAAGTTTTTTTTTTTGAGCATTGCAAATATAAAAAAAAAAAAATTGAAAACATTTAAATTAAATCAAAAGGAGTTGAACTTATGAAAACGCTATGAAAAAAGTGATTTTTTTTTCAAAAAATTAACAAATGATTATTACTACATTAACAGTTTCAACTTTTTGATTCGTAAGCTTACACAGTTAAAGAAAATAATAAAAGAAAAATAGTAAATAATCATCTTGATTCCTTTTTTTCTATCGGAATCCAAATAAATACTCAACTTTTCGAGGAAAGACAAAAGAAGTCATAAAAAATACTTTCTCAAGTCTAGTGTAATTTTACCAGTAAATAATAATTGAATAATGATACAAAACGTTTAATCAGGTGTAAAAAGAAAAAAAAAGGAAAAAAATTTCCAATTTATAGATAAAAAAAAAAAAATATACCTAAATAAAACAAAATTAACTTCTTGTACATTTAGAGAAATTTTTCTAATCAAACCAATTATGATTTATTCGATCTAAATAAAAAAGAGAGAGAGAGAGAAAAAGAGAGAAAACAAAACTATGTGAAACAAATGTAATATTTAACTCCCGAGACAAATATTTTTTCTTCGGGTATATTGCAAAGAAAAAAAAAATTGAACGTAATAAAAAGGAAAAATTTTATTCAAAAAATATTTAATTCCAAAATTAGTTATACTAAAAAATAGTAAAAGAAAAAATCCAAAAGTTTTTACTGTAAATCGAATTAATGGTTTTATTTTACCTTTAAAAACTACAAAATTAAAACCAAAAAATAAATTTAGGATTTATAGGTTAGAAAAAAAATTCATATTTCTAAATTTTCAAGGTTACCGGAAAAGCTGTTTTTAATTTTTATCATACATATCTAAATAACCTTCAAAACATGAATATTTCGAAACTATTTTAATTCAATTCATATAAGACAATAAATTTATATTAATAATTGAAAATATCGAAATATTTCACTAAAATTATAAAAAAAAAAAAAAAAAAAGAAATCTTAATAAATAACTAACTTACGAATAAATATTCACAAATTTAAATCAAAATACAAGAGAAGGGCAAAAAAAAAAAAGAAGAAACATGTTTATATTAAACCCTCTATTTCTAATAATTCAAGAGATAAAAAATTCCGAGAACACTTGTCTTATTTTTTCTCTTCCCAAGATCAAAAAATATTTTCAAAGAAAATTAGCGATTAAATATTCCAGGTTTCAAAAAATTTAGAAAAAAAAAACGTATAAATAAAAAGAGAAAATACAATTTTACAAATAATAGAAAATATATGCAGGCGAAAAAAAACAGTTGAAGATTATGGAATTGAAAGCACACCACGCGACAAAAAAAATTCAATTAATATATAAAAAAATAGCTAAAGCGATTATAATTAGTATAAATAATAAATAAGAAAATTTCGTGTAAATCAATGCCCTCATGAATTTGAAAAGCAAAATTTAACACGTGCAAATAATTTCTCTCAGGGGAAAAAAAAGACTTACTTGCTTTAAAAGCTCACTTTTACGCAGCAAAACAAAGTGATGGACCAGAAAACACCTTAATGCGATGCACTAATAATCGTTAATTTAAAACTAGACTTTCTAATAAATTTTAAAACTTTGAAATCAAAAAGTTGCAATGTTCCAAAGAGAACCGGCCTCTTTCGATGCAAAGTGCGATATGTAGAGAAAGTAGGCACAAATTGTATCAAGCATCGATGAACAAAGATGCAATATGAGAAGAAGCAATCTCATTGGCTTTCATTGAGGGGAAGAGTTCACGTGACGTGCGCGAATCTCAACAAACTGTTGTGTGCGCAATTCTTCAACAACAGGTTGCGCTATAGCCACCATGTGCTTAAATTAATTTTCATTATTTCTCGAATAAATGTAAACGAAAATAATTTTTACGATATTTTTAATATTCTTTAGGCAATAATAATGCAATTAAAAGTAAAGTCAATTAATTTTTTAACGAGGAATCGAGAAAATCAATGAAAATATAAATGTGATAAAATTTGAATCCAACTTCACGTGATATAGATTGCCGCCTGTCGATATATCGATTTCGTACACATGCGCAGAGTGAGTAGGAGGGAATATCAAAATAGAGGCCAATGATTTTACTTTCTTTGTAAAAATACAATTTTCTCGTAAATTTAATTTTACTTATTTTTTTGTAATTAATTCTTTTAATAATTTTTTATTCTTTTGTCATTTTAAAATTAATCTGATTTAATTTACTTTTTATATTTTGAATTTTGTTTGTAATATTATAAATAGATTTTTTATATATAGATATAATTTTATGTTAAATATCATAATAAATAAATAATTAGAAATAATTAAATAATAATGAAATGCTTCTTTATAGAATAGAATAGTATTTCTTCTGCTATAAATAATAATAATAGTAATAAAATATATTAAATATAAACAATAATAAAATAAATAAATATTAAATAATAATAAATAAATAATAAAAATAATAAATAATTAGAAAGTTGTAAATAAAATTTTTTCAATTATAAAACGAAAAAAACAATTTTTTTTTTCGAGAAATGGTAAAAATTTTTATTCGTCCTTGCGGATTTTCTTTTCAGTAATAAAAGTGGAAAAAAAATATTCAATTATTAAAAAACTAAATCAACAAAATTGAAAATTTTTTTTTTTCAAAGAAAAATTTTTTTTTAAAGAAATAATTCATATTTTTGTTAACAACAACCAATGTAGCATAGGTATATATATATGTGTCACCATTAGCTTAAGAATGTTTAAGATAACGGACCAGAAGGTTAGAAATTCAGTCATATCAAGATATTTTGCAATAATTATTGTGCGCAAAATATAGACTCTTCGTCGCATCTTACGCACAATGAGTCAACTTTTATTTTTGTTATTTACCCCCGTTAAACTTTACATAATTCAAAATATATTAATAATTATTAATTAATTAAATTTTTATTTTTAAATTATAAATAAATTTTAATCAATTTATTGCAATTATTATCAATTGTAGATAAATATTATTCAAAATTATATAAGTTATCTAACTTGCTACCGTAATATGTTTATATATATTTTTAATTATTTCAATTAAGTAATTAAAAAATTATTTTTAAAATACAATTTTTTTAAAATAAAATAAATATAAAATTAATAAATATTCAAAAACTAAAAATAAAAAAAAAAAAAAAAAATTCTAATGAAGTTACAAAAATATAATAAAATTGTTAGAAAAGAAAAAAAAACAACTGTCAACTGTCGTATCTATTTAAAAGCGGCAGATGTTAGTAAAACCATAAAATTGAACAATAAAAAAGATATTTTTCTTTTTATTTCAGTTTCTTGCATTTTAATATTTATGATTATAATCCTTATGGTTGGAATATTTTTTTTGGGTTTTTCCAAGGGTTTCAAGGACTTTGAAAAATAATTCTTTTTTATTGCACTTTTTAACCAGTTTAGGATCCTTTTATAATCTTCAAAATTTTACCTGCTGCGACTATGTTTAGGGACAATTTTTTTCCATTATTTTTTTTTTAAATTTTATAAAATTTTATTATTTATTATTATATTTTACATAAATAAAAATTCTATTTCATTGAAAAATCGATTAAAAATTATAATTATGAAATAAATATTTACATATTTGTAGGTTAATGATTTTTAGATTTTTTTTAATATAATTTTTTTTATTAAATATTTTTTTAAAAATATTTTTTAAATTAAACGTTTTTTAAAATTTATTATTTTTGAATTTATTATTTAATATTTAATATAGTTTTAAATTATTTTTTAAAAATATATTTCATATTTTATTTTTTTATATTTTCTCTTTTCATTTTTTTTTTTTTTATTTGCAACCCAATTTTTATTTATTTAATTTAATTATATTAAATGATCATAGAAAAAAATTTCCCTATTTGCAATTTTTGTCATGAAGTAAAAAAAAAAAATTTACAAACTTTTATAAATTTATTCATAAATAAAAATTTTTTTATTTTTAATTTTAATTTTTAAAATTTATAATTTTCATCTTTTTTCTCAATTTGGACGAAAAGAATTTCATAATTCATGCGTGTAATATATATTTGTTATATCAGAATTAATGTGAAAGAATTTCCGCAGTTTTCGCGCGACTTTTTTTTTTTTTTTTTCTTCGTGAGCTATCGTCAAACCGTTATCGATGTAATATGCATTTCAAAAGTCAAAGTATGTATATAATAACTATATATGTGTATATCACAAAGAATAAAAAGAGAAGAAAAAGAAACAAGAACAGGAAAAAAAATGCAGTTCCGTCACGGCCATGGACGGTACAGAGAGATAGGACCAGTTTCTAGTATCGTGGTGTCATGAAGTTTTGTAATGTGATTCTTTATATGCTGCGGATAAAGTCAGTTTACATTCGATTGTCTTATAGACCGGCAGGTTTAATACACGACTTATAAAAATTGACGATAATTAAAAAAAAAAAAATGTCCACAATTTTTTACTCAAAAAAAAAAAAAAAAAAAAATTAATTACAATATTTCTTTAATTATTTTTTTTATTGTATTTCAATAATTATAAATTATATTATTTCAATAATAAAAAAAAAACAATTTAGAAAAATTATTATTCTCGAAAAAAAAACTTTTTCTCGTGAAATTAAAATAAAAAAGTGTTGAATAAATAAAATAATTAAAATTTTAATTACAAATAAAAAAAACCTTATTAATTTTGTGTGTTACGATTACGATATATACAAGATATATTTTAACGAACTTGATTGACCTCATCGTTGAAGAAAATTGGTGCAATGATCGAATAAATATCAAAACAAAACAAAAAAAAAAAAAAAGATTTCCATTAAATATTCATTAAGTGTGTGACTCGACAATTTTCCTATGAATTATTGTCGATAATCATACATACGCAATTAAAAAGTGCGGTGAGCTCAACATTAATAAATATATATATATATATATATATATATATATGTATATATATATATATACATATATATATATATAATATATAGCCTCGAAGGTGTTAATAATGTGCGCGAGAGTGAACGTAGAAGTTTTTGAAAAATATGCAAGGACTTAAAAAAATAATAAATAAATAAATACATTTATTTAGAAGTGATATATTTTCCTTTCAAGTAAAAATGGGACTCGATATATCGACATTTAATCGAATTAATGGTGAGAAAACTAGAAATAAAAATAATGCGTCTATAATTATTAATTATTATTTTTTTTTTGAAAATAATTCCAACATTTTTTTTTTTTTTGGCACAAATGATATTTTTATTTCCTTCAAATAAAATTTATTTGCAAAACAAAAAAATATATTTAGCTCTAAAGACAAAAATAATTTTTTTTCTTTGCATTTCTTTATTTTTTATTTGTTTATTTCAGTAAATTTAAATAATTTTTATTTATTTGAGTTGACAGGAATTAAATTAATTAAAATAAAAATTATTAATTCTTGACAAAATATAATTAATTTCAAATAATTTTTTTTGAAAATAATTCTAAAATTTTTACAAAATATTAAAAAAAATTTTTTTTTAATATTATTATTATTTTAAAAAGAAGGAAGAAAACCTTTAAAAAAATAATAATAAACAATAAAAAATGTTTATTGATTGACAAAAAATTATATCAAAAAAATAATTTACAAAATTCAAAATAAACTATTTGCGAAGTATTATTTGTAAATGAGAATTTTTATTTGAATTAAAGAAAATTTTATTTGGTAAATAAATTATTTTTTTTTTATATTTCGTACACACGTGATATTTTTATTTGTTTTAAATGCAATTTTTTTTTTTATTTCGTACAAATGAAATTTTTATTTATTTAAATAAAAAAAATTTATTTGCAAAAAAATATTTTAAAAAATTATTGCAAAAAAAAGAAAAATAATAAAAAATCTAAAGATAAAAATAAGTTTTCCGTTTTATTTTATGTTGCATATTGCAGCAAATTTGAAAAGCAAAAGAAAAAAAAAAAAAAAAAAAGCAACAACGAAATTTGTAAATGAGAAGAATGAATTAACATAATATATATACGCGGACAAAGAATATACGTAGAGACAAAAAAAAGAAAAGCGATTGAGGTGAGAAAACGAAACTAAGGAACTGATATTTATGATGATACGAAACGTGATTGTACGTGTAAGAAACAACTTCAATGTAAATGCACGTGCTCAAGTTGTATATAGGTATACATGTATATTAAAAGAGTGACTCAGTCTCTCCTTATACTACTCGTTGGTGGATTGTAATAATAGAACAAAATTGATTCATCCTCCTGAAAGTAGAAGTGAGCTTTCCACAATTATTTCATATTAAGATAATATGATTTGGAAATCTTCCTTAAAATTTTTTCATATTTATACAAAAGTTAAATATTCATGCACTGGAAAAAAAATACTTTTATTTGATTCAAATAAACGAGACTACAAAAAAAAAATTAATTATTTGAAGCAAATAATTTTTAGTTAATTTAAAAAAAAAATTTTATGAAAAAAATATAATGTACCATTTACAAATAGAAATTTATTTGAACGAAATAAATATATTTACTTTTACCAAATAAATATTTAATTGAAACAAATAAATATTAACAAAATTATTTGATAATAAATAAATATTTATTAAAATAAAAATTATAATATTCGAATATTTAATTATAAATACACAAAATAAA